ACAGATTCAATGTGGTCCCTATAAGGATACCCATGACATTTTTCAAAGAAATAGACAAAACACTCCTGAAATTTATATGGAGTAGTAAACCCCACGAATAGCTAAGGCAATACTTGGGAAAAAAAGATGGGTGCCATCACCTTCCCCAATTTCAAACTGTACTACAAAGCAGTAGTAATTAAAACAGCATGGTATTGGGATAGAAACAGACCAGTGGAACAGAGTTGAATATTCTGTCACAGAGTCTCAAATATGTGATCACTTAATCTTTGATAAAGGAACAAGAAATGTGAAATGGAACAAGGAAAACCTCTTCAACAAGTGGAAAACTAGACAACTGGAGCCATAGCACAGCGGGTAGGGCGTTTGCCTTACAAGCGGCCAACATGGCCAACCCGAGTTTGATTCCTCCGCCCCTCTCGGAGAGCCCGGCAAGCTACCGAGAGTATTCGATATGCCAGACACTGTCTCCAATGGAGACAACAAAGTCTCCAATGGAGACGTTACTGGGCCCGCTCGAGCAAATCGACGATCAACGGGAGGGCCTTTAGACAACTACATGCAAAAAAAAAAAAGAACACAGATCTCAGTCTAACGCCAAGCACAAAAGTCAGATCTAAATAGATTAAAGACCTCAATATCAGATCTGAATCGATAAGGTACATGGAGGGAAATATAGGCAGAATCCTCCATGCAATTGAAGCTAAAGGCATCTTCAAGGATGACCACTGACTAAGCAAGTGGAAACAAATATAAACAAATGGGACTAAATTAAATTAAGAGAGTTTAATGTAGTGAAGAGAAACAGTGCACCTCAAGAGAAACAGTGACCAGAATACAGAGAGAGCCCACAAAAATACTTACCCAATAACTATCAGATAAGGGATTAATATCCAGGATATACAAGACATTAGTAGAATTGTATAAGAAAAAAATCTCCAACCCCATTGAAAAATGGGGAGAAGACATGAACAGAAGTTTTCTCAAAAAATAAATACAAATGGCCAAAAGACATATGAAAAAATGTTCTACATCGTTAATCATCAGAGAGATGCAAATCAAAAAAATGAGATACCATCTTACACCACAGAAACTGGCACACATCAAAAAGAACAAGACCAACCAGTGTTGATGACGATGTGGGGAAAAAGGGACTCTCTTTCATTGTTGGTGCGAATGCCGAATGGACCAACCTTTTAGGAAAACAATATGCACATCCCTCAAAAAACTAGAAATTGAGCATCCATGTGACCCAGCAATACCACATCTGGGAATGTATCACGAGGGTGCAAAAAAGCACAGTAGAAATGACATCTGCTGCAGATCAAAATCACAATGAGATACCATCTCACACTTCAGAGACTGGCCCACATTCAAAAGAACAAAAGCAACCGATGCTGGCGCAGATGTGGCGAGAAAGGGACCCTCCTTCACTGCTGGTGGGAATGCCTCTTTGATTAAGCTGATTCCAAGGTACTGGATTTTCTGAAAACAGTATGGACGATTCTCAAAAAATTAGAACTTGAGCTCCCATTTGACCCAGCAATTTCACTTCTGGGAATATATCCCAGAGAGTCAAAAATGTATAGTCGAAGTGACACCTGCACTTGTTTGTTCATTGCAGCACTTTTTACAATAGCCAGAATCTGGAAAAAACCTGAGTGCCCAAGAACAGATGACTGGTTAAAGAAACTTTGGTACATCTACACAATGGAGTACCATGTAGCTATTAGAAAAGATGAAGTCATGAAATTTACATACAAGTGGTACTACATGGAAAGTATCATGCTAAGCGAAATGAGTCAGAAAGAGAGGGATAGACATGGAAAGATTGCATTCATCTGGGGGACATAAAGTAACGAAATAGGAGATTAATACCAAAGAATAGCCGAGATCAGTACCAGGAGGATTACTCCATGGCTTAGAGGCCAGCCGGGCATTCTAGGGGAATGAACAGCTCAGATAGAGAAGGGAGCAACAAATAAAGGGTGGTGGGAGGATCCATCCAGGATGGGAGATGCATGCTGAAAGTAGACTATAGACTGAACACGATTGCCACTCAATGCCTCTTTTGCAGACCACAACACCCAAAAGGAGAGAGAGAACAAAAGGGAATGCCCTGCCACAGAGGCAGGGTGGGATGGGGGGGTTGGGGGTGGAAGGGTTACTGGGATCCATGGTGGTAGAAAATGAACACTGGTGGAGGGATGGGTATTTGATCATTGCATAATTGAAACCCAAACACAAAAATTTGTAAGTCTACAACTGTACCTCATGGTGTTTCACTAACAAAAATTAAAAAAAAAAAGAAACAACAAAAAACAAAAACAAAAAAAGAGAAACATCTAAGGAAATGGTTTTCTTGTTTCATAGAACTTAGAAAATAGTGTTCTATAAGGGTGTGTGTGTGTGTGTGTGTGTGTATGTGTGTGTGTGTGTACCCATGAATTAGGACAGTAGAAAATTACACAGGTATGGCTATACTCAAATAAATTAACCAAGAAAGAAAAAGAAATGACATCTGCACCTGTATGTTTATTGGAGCACTGCTCACAATAGCCAGAATCTGGAAACAGCCCAAAGGCCCAAGAACAGAGGACTGATTAAAGAAACTTTGGCATATATACACAATAGAATACTATGCAGTTGTTAGGAAAGAGGAAGTCATGAAAATTGCTTATAAGTGGGTGGACATGGAGAGTATCATGCTAAGTGAAATGAGTCAGAAAGAGAGAGACAGACATTGAATGACCACACTCATTTGTGGAACATAAAATAATATGAGACCTAAGGACAGTAGAGACAAGAGGCAGGATTACTCCACAGTACGGAAACCTGCCTTATGTGTTAGGGGAAAAGGAGGCTGGGATGGAGAAAAGACCACTAAGTCAATGATGACTGGAGGGATTGCTCAGGATGGGAGATCGTGTGTTGAACGTAGACTAAGAACCAAACGTGATGGTATGGCTTCTCAGTAGCTACATTGCAAACCATGATGCCCAAAGTCGAGAGAAAGAAGGAAGGTACCTGCCACAAAGGCAGGTGGGAGATGGGATTGGGGTGGTGGGAGGGATACTGAGGACATTGGTGATGGAAAATGCACACTGGTGAAGGGATGGGTGCTCAATCACTGTAGACTGAAACTCAATCATGAAAGTTTTATTAATTGTATCTCACAGTGATTCAATCCCTGGCACCCCATATGGTCTCCCAAACCCCACCAGGAATGATCCCTGAGCACAGAACCAGGAGTAAGCCCCAAGTACCAAAGGGTTGTATCTCCCTCTCTTTTCCAGAAAAAAAAAAAATCAGCTAGCTCTTCAAGCCTGTGTCCTCCCTTGAACATATGTCTTGCTTGTCTTTATGTATCTTTGCTTGCTTGGTTTTCCACTCTGGAGAAGTCCACGTTCTCTCTTAAATATTTACTTCCTCTCTCCAGCTCGGCCACAGCCCCAGAAGCACAATGACCTAATGCAGAACCCAGCAGCTTGGAGCAGAAAAGTGAAAGGACTATGCGTTAATCCAGGCAATCATTTCTGCCCAGAGGGGAAAGGGTGTTGCTCCCTTCCGCCCTCCTCCCTCTGGAAAGAAAGATGGCGGCCACATGGGAGCCTTGTGGACAGCAGGTATGAGCCGGGGGAGTGGGGGCGACTAAAACCTCATGGGTCGGGGGGCGTTCCGGTCCGTCCTTCACGCCCTACCGAGGTCACCAGTCGCCCCCCGCGAGCGGCTCTCCAGCACGGCCATGGCCCCAGAAGCACAAGGACTTAATGCAGAACCCAGCAGCTTGGAGCAGAAAAGTGAATGGACTATGCGTTGATCCAGGCCATCAAGTCTGCCGGAGGGGAAAGGGTGTTGCCCCATTCGCCCTCTCCTCTCTGGAAAGAAAGATGGCGGCCACATGGTAGCCTTGTGGACAGCAGGTATGAGCCGGGAGTGTGGGGGCGACTAAAACCTCATGGGAAGGGGGGCGTTTCGCTCCGCCCTTCACGCCCTACCGAGGCCACCAGTTGCCCCCCGCGAGCGGCTCTCCAGCACGGCCACGACTCCAGAACACAGAAACCAATTTCTTAACTATCTGACTTTCAGTAGAAATACCTCCAGGGTCAAAATAGCAGAAATCCAAAACCAACATTTAATTCTTGAACCCAGCTGTAGAAAGCAAATCACTTCACAATGCTTTTTCAGCATGTCTGATTTGGGGGGGGGGGGGTAAACTCTAAAAAATAGTGGTGAATCTTTTATTGAAACAATGAATCTAATCAAAGCAGATAGAGTGTTAACTAGAATTCATCTGCCTCACAGGGACGGGGAGGGGCGGGGGGTGGGGTTTTATTGGGGTTCTTCATGGTAAAAAATAAGTATTGGTAAAGGGAAATGTGTTTGATATTTGCATGACTGAGACATAAACCTGAAAGCTTTGTAACCTTTCCCACAGTGATTCAATAAATAAATAAAAAAAAAAAGAGAGGAACATAGAAGGACTTATTTGTGGAGGAAAAAACAACATAACATGAGGCTGACACCTAAGGATAGTAGATACACGAGACAGATAGATTGCTCTATAGCTGGAATCCTGCCTCATGAGCAAAGGGGAGAAGGCAGCTGGAATCGAGAAGGGATCACTAAGAAAAAGATGGCTGGAGGAATCGGTTGGGATGGGAAACGTGTGCAGTAAGTGGATAAAGGAACAAACATGATAACCTCTCAGTGTCTGTATTGCAAACCATAATGCCCAAAAGTAGAGAGAGATTATGGGGAATCATGTCTGCCATGGAGGCAGGGGGAGGGTGGGAAAGGGGGGGTATACCGGGGATATTGGTGGTGGGGAATGTGCACTGGTGGAGGGATGGGTGTTGGATCATTGTGTGATTGTAACCCAAACATGAAAGCTTGTAACTATCTCACGGTGATTCAATAAAATTTAAAAAAAAAAAAATATTTACTTCCTCTCTTTCTCCTCTTGCATCTTTCTAAGCAGGTTGCATTCAATAAAAACTATCATGCTTCACTTAAAAATTTCTTACTAAAAAAAAAAGTAACAAATATTCAATTTTGTTTGTTTGGGGCCTACACCTGGTGTTACTCAGGACTTACTCCTGATTCTGTGCTTAGGGATCACTCCTGGCAGTGCTGGTACAGAACAGCAGTCAACTATACAATGTTAGGTCAATGAGTTTCAGAAAACGGAGATTATAGAAAAAAATGAGATTATGCTCAACGTGCAATTTGATTTCAACCTTATTCTCAGGTAAGTAGAGGGGCATCACTTGAAAATTTAAGTTTCCTTTACCCCAGGGAAATATTTATTGGATATTAATAGTGATTCTATTTTACAAAAAAATTCAATACACCTTTTTTCACAAACATAAAATGGAAATCAAGGCATCAATCACATAATATGTTAAACCAAAGTCCTGATTTTGAGAATTCAGCAGTCAGTCATGATTTTGGCCCAGGACCACCAGTCCATGAATTCCAATAGTTGAGAATCCTGTCAGTTACTGGAACAAAATCTTCTCTAGCTGTGACAATTGTTTCCATATAAAACCCCTTGGGTGGGGGCTCAGCTATTTCATTTGTTGAAATATCCTTTTGCTTTACTTCACCGCCTTGAAAAAAAAAACAGAGGAAAAATACCTGAATCATTAATCTTTACATGACAATAGTAATTAAAACCATTAGCAAAGTCTTGGAAATTTATTTCCTTCCCCATATGATTTATCTCCATAGGATTTATTTCTATTCTCAAAATTCTGACACGTTCTTTCCTTAAAAAAAGAATAAAAGAAAGGGAGAAAGAGAAGGAAAGGAAGAAATGACTTTTATAGCATAAAAAAGAAAATGTGTAATATAATCACTATGGACATAGAAATGTTTATAAAATGTTCAATACAAACATTCGCATGGCACACGAACTTTGTGATCATTGATGATGTTCCTCACAAAATGTCATTTTCAGCACGTTTTTACTTAACATTAATTTATGTGCACCTCACATATACAATTACCTTGTTTAAAAGGATATTTAAAATGTCCCATTCAATAGTTTTTAATATATTCAGCTTTGTGTACCCAGCACCACTATTAATTTCGAATATATTCATCCACAAAAAAAATCTGCATGTTTTGTCAATCACTAATATCTCTGTATCTAATAAGAGTTCCAAGTCCATTTCTGAAGGCTGAAAAATTTCCTTTTCCTACCCCAGAAATTGTTAACATTTTAGGCTCTCTTGGTTGCTAGGAGACCTGGAATTATTTGCTCTCCAAAGGCGACCAGGGCTATGTCACAGAAGCATCGCTCAGTTCTCGTCCAGAATCTGAGAAACTCCACCCGGAATCGCACAAAGATTTATGAGAACGTCTTCGTTCAAAATATAACGAGATTTACGTAGCGGATGTAGTGGGTATTTCCCGGGGATTCCATTAGAGCAAATGCTCTGGGCTAGTTCTGCAGAGAAGAACTGCTCGTTCTGCTAGTTCTGGGCTAGTTCTGGGCTAGTTCCTGGCTAGTTAGGCAGAGAAGCGACCAGCAGCGGCCCCGGCCGAAGAACCATACCTGATGGTTTGCTCTCCTTCCGGTTGTAGAAATACAAGGAGCCCAACACTGTCCAGGCGCCCACCGCATAGACCACGGACATGCGCCGGTACCACGACGAGGCCTGATCCACACGCATGATCCGTCTCGGGTTAGACCCAGATCTCAGGGAGGCCAAGGGCGGGGACGGGGCTTCCTGTCCCGGCCAGCCGCCGCCTCCAATGGAATGCCTGCTCTGCTGTCTCTTCCGTCTTGGACTCCAATGCATCCTGGGACATGTAGTTCCGAAATTCACTCTTAGGTGCCTCCGCTTGGCCCTGTGAGGCGGGCTGAGTCTATATAGCCTGTTAGAGGACTCAAATAAGAGATTCTCTTCAGCCAGTGTCTCATTTGCAAGACGCCTTCCTTATGTAGCCTGGTGGGATCTTTAAAGGCCAATTCAATTCTGCCTCCAGCTCTCAGATTTGTGAGGATACCACTTTGTCCTACTGTCCCATGGATCAAGCCAAGGATCCCTACACGCAGACATCAATCTAGCCACTGTGCTCTCCTAGATCTTATGCTCTATTGTCTCCTCAGAGGAATTCCCCATCAATTGCAATCTTTCTTCCCCATATTTTATCCCATTTTCATGATAGTGACTTCTACCCTTCATCATACAGATGCCCATACCTCAGAAACAAAATATTTCCTTGAACTCTGACTGCCACGAGTTTTCCTTTTAGCCATACATTTCCTCAAAACATAATTAGTCTGGGGGTATGGTGCAGCCAGCAGGTCAGTCTGTACCTGTGAGGAGAGTGTATCAGCAGCCTGATGGTACCATCAGCCTTTCAGATACCACTAAATTAGTGCTGTGCCTATGGCCAGACCCCAAAAACTTGGGACCAAGTTTATCAAGAAAGTAAACGGCCAAAAGTTAGGTATGTGGGAGACACACCCACAAACCACCTCCAGCTCAGTTATATAATTGGAGGCATGGCCTCTCTGGTTCCTGATCGAACTGCTTAATGGCCATGATCCCAGAGACTCAGAAACAAATCTCCAAACCCAAAGGCTTTTGGCGGAAATGCGTCCTGTTCCTGCAGTAGGTTACTGGCGCTGGGTCACTCCAGGTGGGAATAGGTTTTGTGCCTTGGCCTGTTCCCCCTGGAGGCCCAGTGACCACCATCCTCCAGAGGCCACTGGACAGTCAGGTTTGCGCCTGCAGTGATGAGACACGTGGAGCCTCACCAGATGGGGGCAGAACTGGCCCTTCCCTTCCCATCCCAATGAGACCCCGAGTCACCGTCTACAAACGGCCTCTCTGGCTCCTGATCAAGCTGCTTAATGGCCATGATCCTAGAGACTCAGAATCACTTAATCACTTAATCACTTAATCCCCGTTATTCATCGATTTATTCGAGCGGGTGCCAGTAACGTCTCCATTCATCCCGGTTGCGTGCTAGCGTAACCCAATGATATCTGTTCGTTCTAGGAACATGCAGAGCTTCAAATCGATAATTTAGGGTCTTGACGAAGAAGTCTGACCATCTTATAGGTGGGCGTCCACATGATCTTTTGATGTCCCGTGGAATCCAATCAGTAATGGCTCTAGTCCAGCGGTTGTCTGTAAACCTCATTACGTGTCCAGCCCATCTGATCTTTGATGTCTTGGCAAATGAGACAGCGTCCCTGATTCTTGAGCGTTGACGAAGATCAGAACTCCAGATTCTATCTCTCATTTGAGTGAATCGTGATATTCCAAGCATAGTTCTTTCGATTCCTCTTTGAGAGACCCGAATAGCGTTCTCATCCTGTTTTCGTAGGGTCCAGGTCTCTGAGGCATATGTTAATGCAGGAAGAATAGTGGAATCAAAGAGATGTGCTCGTAGCTGGAGGTTCTTTGTCCTTTTAGTTATTTCTTCAATGCTCTTGAAGGCATTCCAAGCCGCTCTCTTCCTCCTGCGCAACTCAGGTGCCAGGTCATTCATCATGTTGATTTCTCGACCTAGGTATATATAACTGTTGCATTCGGAGATGGTGGTTCTGTTGAGAGCGAATGGAGCGTCAGGAACAAGGCTGTTTCTCATAAACATTGACTCAGAAACAAATCTCAAAACCCAGCGGCTTTTGTCAGAAATGCATCTGGACCGCATACAAGGTGGCCGCCGCCTCAGATCTTATTGGAAAGCCAGGTATGGCCAGCGGTGATGGGGCAACTGCAGTCTCATGGGAACTGGGGCGGTACAGGCTCGTCCTTCATGCCCTACCGAGGTCACGAGTTGCCCCCCACGAGCGGCTCTCTGGCATGGCCATGGCTCCAGAGGCAAAAGGACTTAGTCCAGAGCCCAGCAGTTTGCGGCAGAAAAGTGAATGGACCATGCATTAAACTACAGCACCATGCCACCCTGGGAGGGAAAGGGTGTTGCTGCCTTTCGCCTCCCTCCCCCCCCCCCCCCCCCCACACACACAGGCAGCAAAGTGGCCACTGCCTCAGAGCTTATTGGAAAGCCAGGTATGAGCCGGCAGTGATGGGGCAACTGCAGTCTCATGGGAAGGGGGGCAGTACAGGCTCGTCCTTCATGCCCTACCAAGGTCATGAGCTGCCCCCCATGAGCGGCTCTCTGGCACAGCCATAACACCAGACGCACAGAAATCAATCTCGTAATTATCTGGCTCTTTGCAGAAATCTAAAATCATTGTATGATTCTCATAACCAACTATAGAAAACAAAGTATTTCACAATGCCTTTTCAGCAATTCTGATTGTTGGGGGGAAAATTCTGAAAAATAATGGTGCAGCTTTTGTTGAAATAATGAATGTAATCAATATAGAGAAGAGTTAAGTAGAAAACATCTGCCTCACAGGCATTGGGAGGAGTGGGAGGGGGCATATTGGGGTTCTTGGTGGTGAAAAATGAGTACTGGTGAAGGGAAAGGTGTTTGATCATTGTATGACTGAGACTTAAACCTGAAAGCTTTGTAACTTTCCCCACAGTTATTCAATAGATAAATATAAGAAGAAAATAAATAAATAAAATTATTTTTAAAAAAAGTAAGGTGGAGTTCATGCCCAGTTCAATCAGCTAATCAGTGGCTGAATAAATACCAGTACTCCTACATAAAAAAATAAAAACATAATTAGTCTACCCTCCACTCCAACAGACTGAATAACGTGAGCGCAAAAGTGATGTACTTGTTAATTGTCACCAACCCGCAGTGACAGTGTCCTTTGGTGCATTCAGGACCTATATACCTTTTCCCCGCTAGTGGATGGAAGAATGGGTTACAGACTGGTGGCCGACTACATTCTTATTGGGATCAGACAGGGCTTACATCGGAAAAGAGAAACCATGCTCCGTAAGGGTGTGTGTGAGGGGACAGGGACTAACGTGGGTTTGATTGAACATAAGTATTAACAAGGGTTTGGTTGAATATAAACATGTAAAGTGCTTCCATCATGGGGAATTCTTCTAAGAGATCCTCCCAGGAGTGGCACTCCATCTCAGGGGATCCAGCATTCTGGATTCTGATCCCCAACATTTACTGAGTGGACATCAGGTACATCGCCATACCAAGAACTACTTTTCAGCCAAAATCAAACTTGATGTTGTGTGCGTGTGTGCATATTATTTCTTCTCCTCTCCTTCCTCCTCTCTTCCTTCTTATTGTCTTGATGATCCCAGGTCATAGTCATGCATGATTGTGATGTTTTCAGGAGATTGTATCAATTTGAGAAATGAAGATTGTAGGTTTACTGCTCCATAAGGGTTGCTGTGGTAGTCATATGTGTGCTCGCCACGTCAACAGTCACATTTCCTGGCAGTGGGGCTTTAATATTAAGCACCATGCCAGCAACTGACTCTGGTTCCATCCTGGACACAGCACATTGTTTCCAGAACCCTGATAGGAAGTGATTTCCCACTTCCTAAACATAGGACCATCAAACCCCCTCAGGATCTCACCATCAGAGTTGCTTCCCTTTGCAGTGCTTGCATATGTGGCTGTTGTGTGTCCAGAACTTGCTTATGGGACCAGAGGTCTCAGAGCTGACAGTGTTGCATTTAGCACATGTGGCAACATGGGGGAACTGAACTCATGCCCATACCCTTGCAAGGCCGGCATTCTAAACCGATGAGATATTTTCCAAGCTCAGATTTTATTTCTAAAGCATTTAACGATGTTTCACAGTTTCAAGAACATTTCTGGTAACGTTAAGGACTCACAATGCCCATACTCTAGAAAAAACAATATTGATAATTGGACTTAGTTTTGCTCCTCAAAAGTCAATGAAAAAATGAAAAACAGTCAAGGAGAGAGATTGAAGAGTAGACTTTGCATGTTTTGCATGTAGGATACCAGGTTCAACTGGCAGCACCGCATTGTCCCCTCAGTAACGCCAAGTGCGCCCCCCATACCAAACAAGTGAAACAAGTCAGATAGTAAAATATTCAAACACATATTCAATAGACTTGTATCAAGATTATGTAACGATCCCTTAAAATTAGATTTAATAAGGCAAACCAACTAAGAAATTGTCAACAAATTCAAACACTTATCAAAAGTAGGCAATAGCCAATAAACATAAGAACATTACAAAACCACAAATAAAATGACCCCATTAAACATATATCAGAATAACTAGAAATTACCTGGAGAATACCAATAGTTGCAAAAATGTAAAGCAATCAGAACTCTCTTTTGTTGCTTCTTGTGGGGCTATACCTGACTGCTCAAAGTTTACTCCTGCTCTGGGCTCAGGGGTCATCCTGGTTGGGCTTGAGTGAACATATGTGATACAAGAGATTGACTCATGGGTTAGTTGTGCGCAAGGCAAACACCTTCCCCCTGTACTATCTCTCAGGTCCAGCAGTCAGAACTCTTACTTATTGGGGACTACCATTTCAAAAAAAATATATAGCTTCTAAACAACTCAAATATTTTATTCCCAGCTGTCCAAAATAAAAGATTATACCTGCACAAAGCTATAAATATGTTCAGTTTTCTTTTGTTGTTTGGGGGCCACACACGGTGATGCTCAGAGGTCACCCGTGGCTCTGTATTCAAGAATTACTGCTGGCGGCGCTCGGGGGCCCATATATGATCCCGGGGATCGAACACGGGTCAGCCATGTTCAAGGCAAGCATCCTTCCTGCTGTACTATCTTTCTGACCTTGGGTGTTCACTTTTATTCCTAAAAACTCTAAAATAGAAGCAATGTAAATATCACCACAGTGATGAACGAAATGGGATAAATCACTCAGCAATGAACTAGAATAGTACTTGCAACCACCAATACTTGGAACAGATTAATTTTAAAAGATTTATGCTAAGTGAAAGAAGCCAGACACAAAATTCTAGCAATCAAATTTATACTGCAGTGAAATTGACAAGTGGAGAAAGGGAAGAACCAAAAGGGGCTCAAGGACACTTTTGTGGAGGGGTAATGGAAATACTTTTTATATTTTGTTTTGCATTGGGGACATACCAATGGTGGAGCTAGGGATTGCTCCCTGCCATGCTAAGGGGACCATGAGGTGCCAGGGAACCGATATAGACCTCTCCTGTGCAAAGCATGTGCTAAGTCCTTTGAGCTCTCCAGTTCCAGGAATGAACTTTATTGACAGTAGGGGTGGCTTCTTAAACATTCACATAGATCAAGATTCAGCTAAGTTGTGGATTTGTTTGGATCCACACTCAGCAGTGCCCAGAGCTTACTCCTAGCTGTGCACTCCTTACTCTGCACTCTGCACTCGTGGCAGGGTTTGGGGGACCATATGGAGACCAAACCTGGGTCAGCCAAATGCAAGTCAAATGCCCTACTCTCTGTACTATCACTCCAGTCCTAAGATTTTTTTAAAGCAGAAAAAATTGGTATTGTTTTAACAAGCAACATTACTCATTATCTAAGTTAAATATTAGTCTTGTTTGCTCCAGGTTCTCCTGAAACTAAATTCGTATTACTGTTAACCTGCTTGGGCATTTCCATTGTTATATCATGTACCCTCCTTAAGCTACTCAGGATAGAACCCAAGGATGCAACCTCCCAACCAGTAACCTTTCCTTCCTTTTCTGTAATACAAAAAATGATCATGACCCACAAATCTTGACTTATCTTCTTGCCTAACATCCCACCCATCAGTTAAGACAACTGCCTCTAAATGAGCCTCCCCTGGACTCCAGCCTCAACCATTCTTGTCTATCCCAGAGTGCTTAAGATCCTTAACTGATCATTTCACCCCTGCTTAAGAAAGATGAGAGCTTCACTTATTTTGATGTTATTTGGCGGGGAGGGGGTAGCATTCACACCAGTGGTACTCTGGGGTCATTCCTAGTAGTGCTTCTAGGACCAGATGAAGTGCCAGGGATCAAACTGGGGTAGACCACATGCAAGGCAAGTACCTCTGAACTCTCTTCTCTCCCATCCCAGTCAGGGGTTTCTGATAGGTCCGATGTGATGTAAAATGGATGAATAAAAATACAGGACAGAGACAATGTGAAGAAAATAAAAGTTTACTCTATAGAGGGCAGAGATCTTAGGAAATTTTGGCCCCTGAGAATGGGGTGTACAAGGAGGCTGGCAGTTACACAGAAAATGCAGATGACTCAACAAGAATCAGTGTCATTTGCCAGCAGTTTTTTCTCTAGCTGGTTACAAGGAGTTAAGACAATTACAGGGACAAGATGTTGATTTCCAAGGCCACTTGTTTCTCTTTACAGGGGAGCCTTTTGATTTACTTTCAGTCTTTCATTTGCTTGGCGATTCGCCTTGTTCCTTCTGTCCTTGTGAGAGACCGATGACAGTTAGTTCCCAAGACTCCATCTGGATAATGTCCTCTCAGTTTTCTTTTTGCCTTCAGGATGGAGGTTCTTCTGGTTCTTCGTTAGGCAAATCTGGTTCAGTGATACCCTCCTGGGATAACTGTTCTCAAGACAACAGGCCCCTCCATGTTCATTTTGAACAGCCTTTGATTCCCTGAAGTAGGACCTGCTTGACCATATGTTATGTTAGAAGAAAGGGGCCACCCACATCTCCCCAGCCCAGTGCCTTAACTCAACATCTTTAAGAGAACACCAGCATAAGTCGTGTCTCTCACATTCATCTGCCAATTTCAGATGAAATATTAGAGGAGGAAATTTCAACCTTAATCTGCATACAGTTTTTGTGTACAGTTTTATGTATGGCCTGGGTTCAACACCCAGCAAAGCATGATCCCCTGAGAACCAAGCAGTAAGGAGTAATGCACTGCTGGGAGTGGTCCCAAAACAAACAAACAAACAAATGTAATCTCCAATAACTCAACACAGAAAACTTTCCAGAATGCAGAGCAGAGTCCAAAAAGGCAGCAACACAATTAAAAGACATAGTCAACCAAGATCCAACGTTCAGTTAAGTTTTCCACAGTACACATTACCTTCTAGTCAGTTATGGAAGTTATTTCTATTTATGTTGTTTTATTTTGGTGTTTGGGTCACACTTAGTGGTGCACAGGGTTTACTCCTAGCTCTGTGTTCAGGGATCACTACCCACTGTATGACTGCTCCATCCCTATTTCTAATTTATTATCAGTCTTTCTTAGAACATCAGATCGTTAATAACTTGAATCTTGGTTTGTATTATACAGTCTCTGATTACCATATCCTCAGTTCTTAGATTACTTTATAAATACAAAATACATATTTGTTCAGAGAATCAAGGAATCAAGTATGGCCCCAAAATTCTTGGGCCTAAACTCAGTATATCTGCCAAGTAAAAAGACCAAATAGATGCAGTGATCTACCTCACATTTATCCTAGAAAGGGGGCTCTCTCAGCTGTTGGTGGGAGGGCCTAGATTTTCAACGGAGGCCCACAAGCCTGATAATTTGATGCACTGGCTTGTGGTGCTCAGGGATCACCATAGATAGACCTGACAGTGCTCAAAGTAGGGTGGAAGGCCAGGCAGGGCCAGGGACCAAACTCAGGGTCCCGAACAAGTGAGGCATGTTCTCTACTGCCCAGAGCTATTTCTTCAGTCCAACTTTCTGTACTCTTTTTAGAAAAATCATTACAGAACAAAGAGATAGTACAGTGGGTAAGGTGCTTGCCTTATCTAAGGTCATCCTAGGTTGGTCAAATCACTGGAGAAAATATTATCTAATGTCACATAAATAATGTTTACATAATCACAAAGATGTTTAGATCATCCATATTAGTTTTCAACCATTAGATTCAGCTGAGACACTTTAGGCCCAAAGGTTAAATCTTACCAAACTTGATAATATAAAAAAGGTATAGTTGATCAAAAGTGAATGATGAAAAAATTTTAATTTCCTCAGTCTATAAAAATGGAAGCTAAAATTAATATATAAAGAAACAAACAAAAAAGAACTTGGAGGGACTAAAGCAATTACCTCTAAAGTGTAGGATCTAGGTTTAGAGATTAGAGGAAATTGTTAAAAGTCTCCTTCCCCCATTTATTAGGGTTCCTGTTTTAACAAGTATATACCTCTTAGAATTAAAAAAAAAAAAGTACAGGTTCAAATTAAATCTTTTGTGTGCCCAGATACGGGCTGGAGCGATAGCACAGCACATAGGGCGTTTGCCTTGCATGCAGCCAACCCGGTCGACCTGAGTTCAATTCCTCTGTCCCTCTCGGAGAGCCTGGCAAGCTACCGAGAGTATCTCACCTGCACGGCCAAGCCTGGAAAGCTACTCGTGATGTATTCGATATGCCAAACACAGTAACAACAAGTCTCACAATGTTACTGGGCCCGCTCGAGCAAATCGATGAACGGGAGGACAGTGACAGTGACAGTGTGCCCAGATAAAAGTGATGTTACTGTTAGAACCACTTATGCCCACCAGCTATTCCCTATATCTTCCTTGGTTAGACTGTTTATTTACAGTATTACACAGTGATGTATTTTATGTGTGTGTGTGTGTACATACACACATACACACTTGTTATTTTGGGGCAATATATGGCTGTACTGATGGCTTACTCCTGGCTCTGCACTCAGGGATCACTCACTCCAGGAAAGGCTCAAGGGACCATACAGGGTGTCGGGAATTGATCCAGGTCAGCTGCCAGCAAGGCAAGCATCCTACCTTCTGTGCTATCTCTCTCTTTTTTTTTTTTTTGCTTTTTGGGTCACACCTGGCGATGCACAGGGGTTACTCCTGGCTCTGTACTCAGGAGTTACTCCTGGCGGTGCTCAGGGGACCATACGGGATGCTGGGAATCGAACCCGGGTCGGCCGTGCAAGGCAAATGCCCTACCCACTGTGCTATCTCTCCAGCCCCCTGTGCTATCTCTCTAGCCCCTGATTAGAATGATTTAACTGTGGCAACAAAATTTATCACCTCTGATTTCCGATAGACTGATATTAGGATACAAAAAGCATAAACATTTACAAGTACCAACATTTATGACCTTCTATGGAAGAAAAAAGGGGACACAGATCAGGAATACAAATAAATTATCATCTTAACAGCTACATACAACACTTCCTTTTTTTTTTTTTAATTAAAATCCACTGGAAAAAATGAGAGGAATGTTAGTAAGACTTTAAGCAACTGTCAACATGAGCTGACAATGTTTGCTTCGATTCCCTGCTCATATCCTCTGCTTAACTGGCACTGGAGACAGCCAGCTTCTTCAAATGGTCCATGAACACCTGCAGGCTGACGTCATCAGTCAAGATGGGAGCTCCCGTTTCCTAGAGTTCAATAATAAGGGTTTATTGGCAAGAGTCTGAAGAGCTGGAGAGAATCCCGAAGTTGCTGAAGCCCTTCCTAACTCAGAAACATACACAAGTGTCGCTGTCTTCTGCAAGGACTCCCACCACTCCACCCTCTACCAGCTCATTTCTCTACCTGAAGAAAATCTGGGGAAAAGATCAGAGGAGAGAGACTAAGGGTGAGATGAAGAACATGTTTTTGTCCTGCACTCCCCAGAGGAAGAGAAATATGCTGTGTTCTTGGGCCTTCACCTGTCACTACTGCAAACTGCAGAAGGGAATTCACACAGAAGGGGTGCTCCTGCCCTGCAATACCCTCACCCTCCACTACAATAAAGGTTTTTGGCAAAATAGTTAAGTTTTTCTGTCCCTGAACCAAAAGGAATCTAGTTTCTAGCATTTAAAAACAAGTGTTAAAAAAAGCAGTCTGACAATTTCTTACCTGTCCCCAAGCATACAGATTATTATGTGTTTGAGATGGGTTCACCTTGGATAGAAGGAATCGAGCCTTAAAAAAATAAAAAATTAAGAATAAAAATTAGCATTAATAGAACTGGGGGAAAGTGTTTACTTTTATTCTGTTAAATTTGATTTTTTTTTAAAAAACTACATATGAACCTGTCTTTTATACTTTCAGCCCAACCACACTCCATTTATTAGGGTTCCTGAAACATGAAACATGTTTTATTTTGGCAATTCTCTACTTTAACATCAACATTTTGTAACAGCCCTCAGCTTACTCCTGCTCAGAGATCACTCCTAGAGGGGCTAAGGGGGCCACAGAGAATGTCCAGGGATCGAAACCAGGCTGGCTGCAAGCAAGGCAAGCACTTAAGCCTGTACTATCTCTTCAGTCTTAACATCAACATATTTTGTTGCTAGAACAGGAGAGCGAATACATTAAAAATCATGGAGCAAGAGTGATAGTACAGCAGGTAGGGCATTTTCCTTGCATGCTGCCAAGCTGGGTTTAATCTAAAGCACCCAGTATGGACCCCTGAGCACTACCAGAAGTATTTCTGAGTGTAGGGCCAGGAATAACCCTTATTGCTAGGTATGGACTCCCTAACTCCCCCAAATATTTTAGAAGTTTATATTTTATGTTGCCACATAACTATTATCCATGCTGTCTGGATTTGTAGCCACCCCAATACACAGTAAACTCACAGAGCAGCAGAGGTAGGCTCAGTTCCCATACCTGACTGCCTCCGTGCTCCGTGTTAATGTACCGGGGCATTGGGAAGCGTGCTTGCAGAATTTCCTGGGCGTCATCCAGTGGTGCCTGTAGAAGGTGCTTGAAGTTTTCATACTCGGGCATATCCTGGTAACCAGCTTTACGCCACTGGGCTATGGTCTATAGCAAAACAGACAAACCAAAACATTATGGAAAACTGAAAATCAGGATTGACATTTGACTAACATGCCCCCCCCCCCCCGCGCGCATCAACACTCAATTCTTTTCTGATAATTAATTTTATGTAAAGAACATAAGAACATTCACATCTATGGGTAAGGGGTTTGAAAGGGAAGCAGGTTTACTGTAACCAAACAAAGTGTATGGAAGTTGTCATTAACGAAATTTCGCAACACAATTTTTTAGGACATTTGAAATCACTTCTCATAAACAAATCCTAAAAATTCAATCAATTATCAAAAATTAATGAAGGTAAAGTATGTATAACAGTAGGGAGAAAAGCACCAGTGAATATAATGTTCAATAATGGGTATTCTTTAGAGGAGCCATTCTCTTTCTTAGGGCATGAACTCTTTTAAAGAAGAAAGAATGTCTCCCCTGAAAACCATTTCTGCTATCCTGGAGCTCGAGAGACCCTATGATAAGGCTCACTGTGCCTCAAAGAAAGAGTCACAAACACGTATTACTAGTAATGCCAACATAACTCTGAAAAAGACAATAGTGTGAATACAGTTGAGCCAAGTAAACTAATCTTGTTAAACAGCTCAGAAAGTAATATATTACAGGGATTTCAAAGGCCAACAAGAGATTAATTTACAACGATTAAAATGTGTAACATAAAAATATTCCAAGGACCTGAAAAAGGTTTAATTCATTATAGTACAAGACACTGTAAAAATTAAACAATTGTAGTATTTTTAGGGGTGGAGCAGTGGGAGAGGGTGTTTTTGTGCCATACCTGACTGTGCTGAGTCAGGGTTTACTTCTGGCTTTATGTTCAGGGGACCATGTGTGGTGGCAGGGGGTGAAGCAGGGTCACCTGCATGTAGGTACCTTGCCCCCCATACTAACTCTAACGACCCCTCAATGAAAATAAACTTGGGTTGTATGAGCACAAGTTCCTTTTTTTTCCTTTTTTTTTTTAATTTTTATTAGTGAAACACCATGAGGTACAGTTGTAGACTTAACAAATTTTTGTGCTTGGGCTTTAATTATACAATGATCGAGTACCTATCCCTCCACCAGTGCCCATTTTCCACCATCACTGATCCCAGTATCCCTCCCACCCCCCATATCCCACTCTGCCTCTGTGGCAAGGCATTCCCTTTTTTTCTCTCTCTCCTTTTGGGTGCTAGAGCACAAGTTCTTATGTTTCTGGTTCAGTGCTTGCACCTGGTGATGAGGTGCTGCTTAGGCCCAAGGGGTTAAGGGGCCACCAGAGGTTGCTGGAAGCCCCCAGGGATATACCTTGTGGTGCTCAGGAGATCAGAAGTATCAGAGATCAAACTTGAGGCCATCACATGTCACATGTATTCTCAGCCCACTGAACTATCTCCCCAACCTCCCAATTTCTTATTTTAAATAGCAGCCAAGGATGTATCTCAAGGGTAGAGCACATGCCTTATAAGTGCAAGGCTCAAAGTTTGATCCCTGGCACTGTAGAAAAGGGAAAAAAAAAATTTTTTTTAAATTAATACCATCTTACCTCACCAAGATAAATGACAATTTGGAAGAAAGTGTCCATCAGCAAAATCCTGTCAGCTAAGATGCTGCTGCTGTCCAAGAGAACTGGCTGAAGAGAGAAGAGATGGCATCAGCACCCCTGCTGCTCCCCAGGGGCAACCACTCAAACCCCACACCTCAGCACATACAACAGCTCGGAGGGTGTTTCCAAAGGTTCCTGGCATGATGGCTCTCCACCACTCCATGCCCATTCCTGCTTTCTACTCCCTGACTCAAAGCTGTCTCAGAAGAAACAGGCTCTAAATAATCCCTTGTCAACTGGAAAGGAAGATTAATTCATTGTTCTACCCATCAAGGTAATACCCAACAACCAAAATGACTCTATTTTGTATAAGAAAGAGAGAATTTGGTGGGGAGGGGAGAGAGGTTACAGAAAAGATTAGCACAACCATTGTGCAAGGAAGACTCGCAAATTCATCAAACATTCCATTAAAAAAAAGAAATTGGGTCTGTTTTGTTTATTTATTTTTTGGAGGGGGCAGTGGGAGGGACACCTGGTGGTGTTCAGGCATCACTCCCAGCACTGCTCAGGGGATAGTATGTGGTGCCAGGGACTTAAGGTCAGCTGTATGCAAGGCAAGTGCCATATTATATAGCTCTGGTCCTAGAAAGAGGTTTTATCTATCTTGGACACACTCTCTCAAATCTACTGCTATAGGTAAGAAAAAAGTTGGAAAGAATTTTATTGAGTTTTTTTCATATAACACTTAAACATAGTGTTTGATAAATGATAAACATTTATCACTGGGGCTGGAGCAATAGCACAGCGAGTACGGTGTTTGCTTTGCACATGGCCAACCCGGGTTCGATTCCCCATGTCCCATATGGTCCCCTGAGCACCGCTAGGGGTGATTCCTGAGTGCAGAACCAGAAGGAACCCTTTTGCATCACTGGGTGTGACCAAAAAAGCAAAAAAAAGAAAAAAAAAGAATTTATCATTTTTTTTTTTGTTACATAAATTTTGTGAACAATGTGAGATAATTAATTTATTTTCCTACCATTGCTTACTTAGGTTGTTTTTTAATTTTGCTGTCCTTTTAAAAACTTTCTTCTAAGACACTGTGATTTCCAACACTGTTAATGGTCAGGGCTCATAAATAAAATCTGCCACACCCTCCAGAGTGTCTGCTTCCCCCATCACTGTCCCATCAAATTTTCTATTAAAACTGTTATTTTTTGTTTTTATTATTTTTTTGAACAAAATTTTTCTGATATGGAGAAGTTGTTCTTTCAGATAACAAGACATGAAATAACAAAGCCAAAGGACATCATAGCACTGTGGGAAGAGAAAAAGATTTTTATAATCCTGTTTTCCACAGATGACAGCTTCATATAGTTTGAGACTTTTCCTGTCACTATCACTGTCACTGTCCTCCCGATGTTCATTGATTTGCTCAAGCAGGCTCAGTAACGTCACCATCATGAGACTTGTTGTTACTGTGTTTGGCATATCGAATACGTCACGAGGAGCTTGCCAGGCTTTGCCATGTGGGCGAGATACTTTTGGTAGCTTGCCAGGCTCTCCGAGAGGGGCAGAGGAATCGAACCCAGGTCAGCCTCACACAGGGCAAATGCCCTGCCCACTGTGCTATTGCTCCAGCCCTATTTTTTAAAAATTAATTTGCTGAATCACTGCCTATGTATGTTTTTATTACTCAGAAATGTTAAACTAAGTAAATTTTCTAGGAAGAAGATGTGATTCCAATTCTGAAAAAAAGCATTTACAAAAACTCTTACCTCTGGAGGTCCATGGAATGAGTAGGAATAGAGAATAGGCTGGATCATGATGAGGGACTGGGTTAGATCCTGTCGGGCAAAATGGTGTCTGTAATACGATGACTCGTCAGGACTGTTGTTAAACACTTGAAGAAATGGAGATCTTCTAAGATGGAACATGAACTACATTTATAAGAGAGGAAAAAAAGACATGCATAAACCTGAAACCTTCTTATGGATCAAGAGAGAAGAGCTGCTTTTTTAAGGCATCTAAGGAAGGAGAGCCTAAACATCAGGGCAAAGGTCTGTGGGTTCACTTCACAGAAATTAAAATGGGGCAGAAGGGGATCAGGAAAGAGGGAAATGAGAGTTGCTCAGTTTTGCAAGGTGAAAAATGTTCTAGATGTCTGCTGCATAGGTATGTGGCTATATTCAACACTACGAAGACGTATACTAAAAAAAAGGTGACGATACAGAGTATTAAAATAGATTACTTTTGCAAAGATTAAAAATTTTAAAAAAAGATAGGAGATGCCATGCCATAGCCATGCCACACCAGGCTGCTTATTGGGGGCAATCTGGAGGGGGGCAGGTGAGGCCCCTCCCCACCCCAAGAGACCCAGCCCCAGCAGCCAAAAACCTCCAGAACTCAACACTGCCATATAAAAGCCACTCTCCAGGCATGCTCAGGCAGAGCCTCACCCATAAGTAAGTCTATTCCTGGACATCTCATACTTCACACCACCAATATACCAAGAGAAGCACGCCACATCTGATGGAGTTTAAAGTCGAAGGCAACCTTGGGACTGGAGTGATAGCACAGTGGGTAGGGCATTTGCCTTGCACGTGGTCGACCTGGATTCAATTCCCAGCATCCCATATGGTGCCCTGAGCACCACTAGGATTAATTTCTGAGTGCACGAGCCAGGAGTAACCCCTGTGCATCACCAGGTGTGACCAAAACAGCAAATAGATAAATAACAGAAGGCCACCAAATTTAGGGGGAAGTATATTTATACAGATTATATTAAAGGTTGAGCACACAAGGCTCAACCTTTAACAACATGTTACTAATCTTATAGAAGGGTTTAATGGCTCCTAGGTGAAATACAACAATCTTCACACACTTTCCTCTAAGACACCTTTTCTGTCCCATTTTTAGTGGATTATTCATAATAAGCGATAAAAAATCGGGGCTGGAGCAACAGCACAGCGGGTAGGGCATTTGCCTTACAAGTGGTACACGCGGCTGACCCGGGTTCGATTTCCAGCATCCCATATGGTCCCCCGAGCACCACCAGGAGTAATTCCTGAGTGCAGAGCCAGGAGTAACCCCTGAGCATCGCTAGATGTGACCCAAAAAGCAAAAAAAAAAAAATTGGTTCTGCTTTGGGGGCATGGTTTGGGGTTTGGGATGGAAATATGGTAGTGGGAAGGTATAATGGTGGTTGGATTGTTCGAACATTAAACGTGATCAAATATTGTGAAACAACTTTATAAAAATTTAAAGCAATTGAAAAAAGATCTAAATAAAGATGGCCAATAGGCACATGACAAGATGTTCAACATTCTACTGGAAAAATGCAGAGCAAAACAAAGAGACAGCATCTCTCAGGCATAAGGGGATTATGACCTGAAAGTCAAGGCACAGGCCAGGGTATAAAGCGTTTGACTTCCATCTGGTCAACCCAGGCCCGGTTCCTGCATCACTTATGTTCCTCTGAGCTCAGCCAAGAGTGATCCCTGAATGTAATCAGGAGTAAGCCTGTTGGGTGTAGTCCAAAAAGGAAACATTGAAAAGTCAAGGTTCAAGTATGGACAGGATATGGAGAAACAGGGGCCATTATATACTGTTGGTGGGGGTGTAACCACTAACACTGTATGTTTCTAATATTAACTATGGTCTCCTGTTTAAGTAATCTTTCTCACTGTGCTTCACTTCCTTGGCCTGTGGTAGAGGTGGCCAGTGACCCAGCATGCCTCCTATAGATGACCATATATTTGGTCTTTTCATAGTCCACGCACTTATTTTTTGCTCTCCATTTGCATCTCTCCCCTGCATGATGTAGGGCATATCTATCTTGAACTGAATTATCTTCAGGATCTACAGTGTAGAATCTTAAAATAGTCTTTCGTCTCCCCCTAGACAGCATTAGTTTGATCACAATTTATATGCAATGGTTATGTTAGAAGAGTATTTCTTACCTGAGGATACAGAGAGAAAGAATCTGATAACCTAAATGAAGTGGGGTCGTCTTTGTTATACTGTCCAAACTTCTGACACTGTTAAAAGAAAAAAGCAGAGAGAAGAAAAAGAAATCAGTGCCACTGGAAAGCTCCCTCGGGTGAGAGGGCTGCATTTGATGCCAGCCTTGCGGCACCGAGTCTGTGACCTGCGCTCCCCAAGCACGGCAGGCAACAGCAGGAGTGTGATGGAAAGGCGGATGCTGCTTTGGCAGAGCTGGAGATTGGCAGGCGATGTGGCGTTTCTACCAGTGCCCAGCCAGTGCTGCAAAAGGACCTCTCTGACCAGTGAGCGGTAGAGGAGTTTGTCTCAAGAGCTTCTTCCCAAAGGAAATCTTTTGAGACCATGAAATATTGGCAGTTACAGGCGAGCCTTAATGCTGTATTCCCCTACAGCTCAATTCTCTTCTTCTTTTTACAGGGGCATTTCTGAGGTCAGAGTGGCAAAGGACAGAAGATAGGGCACTTGCCTTGCAACTGGCTGACCTGGATTTTACCCCTGGTATCCCATAGTCACTTGAGCCCTGCCAGGAATGATCTCCTGAACACAAGGAGTAAGCCCTGAGCACTGCCAAATGTAAAATAAAACAGAAATAAAATAAAACACAAGGACATTTCTGAACAATGTTTTCTCTTCCTGCCTTTAACTTCCCCTTTATTTCCCCATTCCCTCTGGCCACGAGAGATTCAGACTTTTTACCATTTAAAGAGTTTTTTAAAACATTTTTATTTTCCTTTAAGCTCCTGAGGATTGAAACAAGGACCTCACACATGCAAGGCAAATGTTCGTACCTCGGCATTACATCCTCAGCCCCCCACAATTTACTTCCTGCTCCCAAACCTGCTCTCCCTCTCCCAGTCCTCTTTCTCCTGAACTCCCCAGAACCATAAACCAACTAACCCTTCCACTTTCTTGAAATTCTCCTGCTCAGCTGCTGAAATACCTTTTTTCTATTCCTCGTCATCTCTTTGACAAATCCTTCTCTGCCTTCTTCCTCCAGATTCCTTTAAGGTGAGTTTTTATTTACTGTTTGGGGGGTGGAGGAGGAGCACACCTGGAGGTGCTCAGAACTTACTCCTAGCTCTGTGCTCAGGGATCACTCCTAGCAGTAGAATTGGAGTAGGAGGCTTGACTCCAACTCCAGGGGCAAGACTCAAGGGGCTATATGAGTCACCGGGGATCACACCTTAGTCAGCCATGTACAAGGTAAGTGCCTTACTGGCTGTACTCTCTCCAGCCCAAGATGAGTTATTGTAACCTATCCCATCCTCACCTCTTTGGCTACTAGAGTTAGATTCAAGTTATTCAGATCCACCCACAAGTCCTGTGCTCACCTACTACCTGAGATCCTGTCAAGGTTTAGTTTTCCTTGGACTTACTTTTAAAAGTTCATGTTAAGAAACACTTATATTTGGGACTAGAGTAATAGTACAGAGGGTGGGATACTTACCTTTCAAACAGCTGACCTAGGTTTGATCCCCAATACCTCAAGCACCACCAGGAATAATTCCTGAGTGCAGAGCCAGGAGTAAACCCTGAGCATGGCCAGGTGTGGCACAAAAACCAAAATCCAAACCAAACAAACATACATTTGAAAACAAAAAGTGAAATACTTCCCTCCAACCAAAAATCTCTTTCCCTTCTCACTTTTATATCACAGTCTTCCTGTGGTTCCCCACATTTGAAATGAGTCAAGATATTTCAATAAATGATTCCACAGAGTTTGAACAAATGTTACCAATTCTTTCCCAGTACACATCCTGATTTCAAGCCTCCTACTCCAATTCTACTGCTATCAACACCAGTGTCAGCTAATGGGAGCCTACATAATCTCCCGGGTGCACCCTTAATAAAAAGCCTTGAGACCTCCAATATACTTAACGTGGCAATGGTAACTCAAACACTGTGCTGGATTCACAACTCTGCTCAAATCACTCTCTCGATCCTTCCGATGTTAAGGTAGTAGCAACTTAAAAATTCAGACATTTCAGAGGCTGGTGAGATGGCACAGGGGCGAAGACACTTGCCCTGCATGCAGCTGACTCAGGTTCAGGTTCTAGTCCTCCCTGGCACCACATATATTTCCCCCAAGTACCACCTGAGCACCCCAGGGTATGGCCCAACTCTTCCCCTCTCCCCAGATCAAGAGATGGCTCAAAAGACTAGATTACACGCTTTGCATGTAGGAGTACTGGGTTCAACCCCCAGCACCACATGGTTCCCCCAAATCCAAGCTCTGCTTGGAGGGTCCTCTAAGCACAACACCAGGCTTAGCCCCAGAGCATTGCCAACTGTGATTACTCCACTATCTACTCCTGAAGCAAACAAATAAATAAATAATTAAAATCAAGGCATTTCTCAATGAAGTAATTCCTGCTGTCCAAGCTGGATTCTTGCAACAGAGGCATACTCCAGCGGTGCCAGCCTCAGTCCACATACGCAGCAACCTCCCATACGCTTGCTCGTGCTGGCCTGGCATTCAGCTGAAGGCCAGACTCAAGACTCTTTCCTCACAGAAAGCCTTGCCATCTTCTTCAACTCTCAAATTTCTAACTGAAATCTCAGCACTCCAATAAAAAAAAAAGGTTCCTTGAGCCAGCAAGGGCAAATGTACAGTTAAAGAGAGTTAAATAGGGACCGCTCAGCAGCGGTGATGATAAATATGTGCTGTGACTTTCCAGGAAGTTAAGATATGTCAAGTTGACACATTGCCACTGGCTCCAAATATCGCTTCTGACCTGTTATCAAGAGGATCCGGGTGCTTTATTTTCCCTTGTCCATTGGCAATGAGATTAACCTTTGCCAACAGAGGGTGCCAGAGGCAAAGATTTGCTTCCGGCTCATCTGCAAAGGCTGAGGCTCGCTGAGCTGAGCTCCAGGAACGGTTCTGTCACCTGCTTTCTGGTGGGTTGTTGTCCAGGTCTAGCGAATTCCTCATGGAAAAAAAATCACTGCACCTTCTCTCCCTGCCTTGCTCGCCCAACTAGATTTAGACCAGCGCAGGGGAGATGGGCGCTTACTTGGGTACTTACTCTATTTCAGCCTAGAATTAGAGGTTCCCCCTTTAATCTGCTACTCCTATATTCCGTGCATTACTTCTTAGTAGCAAATCCCTGATGATCCTGATTTTCACAAAATTTATAAGAAATCTACATTTCATCTGATCCTCCTGATCAGAGCCCAAATGGAACCTGAGGCCATTCCCTACATCTGCTGACACATGCACCCCTCTATTTCCAGAAACACCTGAGATCTGGAGGGAGAACTGGCCACTGCATTCAGTGACTCATCCAATTCAACTCTTGGTGATTGTTTTTCTGCTTTTGGGTTACACTCAGCAGTGCTCAGGGCTTACTCCTGACTCTGCACTCCGGGATCACTCCTGGCGGTGCTCAAGTGACCATCTGAGATGCCAGGGATCCAACTTGCACTGGCCACATGCAAGGCAAACACCCTAACTGCTGTACTTTTGCTCCAGGCCCTGATCTAATTCAATTGTATTCCCCCCTTTTTTTGACTTTTTGGGTCACACCCGGCAAGGCACAGGGGTTACTCCTGGCTCTGCTCTCAAGAGTTACTCCTGGCGGTGCTCAAAGAATCATATGGATGCTGTGAATTGAACCCAAGCTGGCCACATGCAAGGCAAACGCCTTACCCGCTGTGCTATTGCTCCAGCCCCTCTAATTCAATTCTTGACACACGCGGGCTATACACCATTGTCTGCATGTCCCATGCATGCACTTTCTTCCCAGCCCCAAATAATTCCTGGAGAGGAAAACACCTACTTAACACTCCTTTCATCCCAGAATTTCCAGTGTTTGGTATACAAGACACTAAATGCCACATACTTACTGAGTGACCTCATAAATGATAGGTTTAAATGATAATGTTCCCCCTCTCAAAAATAGAGCAAACGCAAGACCAAGCCTACTACCACAATCCCTGACTTACCAATCGAATGAGTTGTCGGTCCAGCCACCGGAGCACGTCGGGCCCTTCCTCTGACTCAGCTCGGAACACTCCCAGCCGCGCCATCAGGACTGCAGCGGCCTCCTGGTCAAATGCCGCTTCTATGTGTCTGATCTGACTCTGCGCATCTGCCCAACTGACAACACCAGAGTTAGAACCACACTCACAGCCAAAGGTTAAAGCCAACTCTCCGTTAAGAGAATGGAACGTGATCTCCTAGAGAGCGCAGCTAGGAATCAAACCATTAGGAATCACACATATCCAGTAACCTTCATAGCACTCTGAAGGCTCTCAGTGCAAGAGAAAAATTAAAGAGCCTGGAGCCAGGGGATGGTTCCACAGGCAGGAGCATCAGCTTCACACGTGGGCGTGCTGCAGAGGTCCCCACACTACCAAGAGCGACCCCTAAGCAAGGAGCCTGCAGTAGGCCCCAAGCACTGCCACACTTGGCCTAGACAAAATGAACCAAATCCAAAATGAAGAAACTAAAGAAAAGAAATACACAAGGACCTAAAAGTACAGAATACAGCTGCAGTTAGAAGGAAGGTAGAACCCCAAACATCCTTTAGCAAGATGGATACATCCCATATAAACTATACAATACTATACACACCTTAAAAATGAAAGCTATGGTACCAGGTCTATGACGCAGTGGCAAAGTGCATGCCTGACATGCATGGGGTCTGGGACCAATCATTCTGGATTATATGGGCGGGAGGGGGGGAGGGGGAGAAAGAGATACGAGGCTTGTTGTATTGACACAGATGTCCTTGACACATGAAGGAAAGCTCATGAATATATCAATGTAAGAAGCCATATATTTATGTAATTCACATTATATGTCAATTACACAGAAGGGATTGTTAAGTGCCAAATGGGAATGAAATTTAATTTCTGAGGAGAGTGGATGAGGAAACCCTTTTATTTGAAAAGGCACCTCTATCAATAGTGCGCAGGAGACAGGTGCGGCTGGAGATGAAATATGCAACTACATGTGCTGCTCTATGAGCTACCTCCTGGGTCAGAGATCCATTCCCTCTGCTATTTGTTTTGGGCTTCATCTGACTCAGTGCTCAGGGCACAGTGTGATGCCAGATATTAGCCCAGGGCTTCCAGACGCAAAGTATGTGCTCCAGCCCGAGCTGTTTCCCCTGTCAGAGACCCATTCTTTATATATTGTAATGCAATATGAATTTTTTACAAAGAGGATGATTTATGACTTATTTACTTGATAAATCAAATATTTAAGGTGTTTCTTTTTCAGATCACAACCAGTGACGTGCAGGCCACTCCTGGCACAGTGTTGGAGGAGCAGAGGGCAACTGAATCTCAGCAGGGCTCCGGGCACCATGGAGGGCCAGGGATTGAATCCAAGGCTTTAAGCTACATTTCTGGTCCTGAAAACTGAAAGAACTTATTCCTACTCAAAGATTTTTCTGTGGCCTAGCTGGATTAACAGACAATGCTGGTTCCCGTTCTTGCTCCTCCTCATCTGATAAAATGAATCATGAGAATTGGTGAAAACCATTTTCATGGAGTTTCAAAGATAAACTAATAGATGTTAAGTTACATCTTCACAGAAAAACATCAGGCATGGTGGGGGTGTGGCTCAGCAGCAGAGCACTTGCAAGTGTAAGGGCTGAGGAATGAGAGAAAGGCAGGGAAGGAGGAAGGGAGGGGAGAAGGGAAGAAGGAAGGAAAGAAAGAAGAAAAGCAAGATGGCCTCTCATTATCTGTATTGCAAACCATAATACCCATAAGTAGAGGAAGAGTAAGAGGGAAATTGTCTGCCATAGAGGCAGAGGGCGGGTGGGATAGTGGGGGGGGGGGAGGGCTATTCGGGACATTGGTGGTAGAAAATGTACATTGGTGGAGGGATGGGTATTCGATCATTATATGACTGGAACTTAAACATGAAAGTTTTGTAACTGTAGCTCACAGTGATTCAATAAAGAAATAAATAAAAGAAAAATAAAATAGAAAAACATCAGTCGGTGGGACCAGAGAAACAGCACACCAGGTAAGATGACCTGAGATTCGATCCCTGGTACCACACTTGGTACCCTAAGTCATACCAGGAGTGATCCCTGAGCACAGAGTTAGGACTAAGCCTTGAGCACCATCAGGTGTGGCCCCAAACACCAAACCAAACCAAAACATCAGTCAGAAAAGGAACACGCTGCTCACTTGCGGGCAATAGTGGTCACGCGGATGCGCCTTTGGGTGCTGGAGTGCTGGTACTGTGTGACAAACTGGACGGCGCCTCTGCCTCCTTGTGGGACGGGAGCATTGTGCTGCAAGATGAGGGGCACACCGGATACTGTTACAGGAGCACTCAGACATGAGCAATAGCAGAGCTTACATTTCCTTCTAAAACGACTGACAACCATGATGATAAAGTTAGTGGTGCAGTTTTTAGTGTCACACTTAAGACCTGGGTAATTTTATGCAGAATATTTACCACAAAAATAGTTTTTTGAAAAAGAGAATTAGATTCAAACTTTTCAAGGAACAATATATATGTCAAAATGTTTGGGGATGAAACACCCTGATGACCAGAATTTGCTTTTGAAATGCACCAAAAATCAGATAGATTGATGGATAGATAGATTTATTTTATGTGACAGAATAAAGAGTCAAGTGTCATTTCATAATCTAAGTGGTAAGTAGATGGCTGTGTGATCTCTTAGTTTTTCTGTATGTCTGAAAATTTTTTAATAAATTTTGGGAAAAGAACTGACACTAAAATATTGACCAACATCCATGACGGGTGATAAAGATACTACTCTTCTTAGGATTTTATCAGTTTACCAATAACATAATCATACAACAGGTTGTCCAGCTCTGCCCCAACCCTTGAATGAATAAATGAGACCATGCCAGACTGGTATCAGGCCACACACAGGCCCAAATTAGCATCAGTTATAAAGAACTAACAGTGGCCTCCAGTCTATAATGAATCAGAAAATACAACACAGGGACACGAATATTCCTAAACAAATTCACGTACCTGGTTGACTACTTCAAAGTAAATGCCAATTGTAGATGAGGGATCCAAGCCACACATTTTCCACTGACTTGTGCCACCAATACCAAGCTCCTAGGATAGAAGAGAAAAATTAAAAAACCAAAAAGCTACTCCTGTGGTTAAGTGCTGATGCAAAGTACCGAGAGGGTAGGCCACATAGAATATCTCATTCCAAACGGAAATTCAAATCCTACTGAAAATAATATAAAGTCCAGAATCAAGTTAAACACTTAACAGCACTTTAAGAGAGTACAGCAGGTGGAGCACTTGCTTTGCGTGCGGCTGACCCAGGTTTGATCACTGGCATATGGTCCCCTAGCACCAACAAAAATGATTCCCGAGAACACAGCCAGGAGTCAGTTGTGAGCACCACTGAGTGTGGGCCCAAAATAAAACAAATAAAATGAAAGGACCAGAGAACTAGTACAGTGGGCAGGGTGCTTGCCTTGAATGCAGCTGACCAGGGTTCAAACCCTGGCACCACACATGTTCCCCTAAGCACCGCCAGGAATGACCATTGAGCACAGAACCAGGAGTAAGCACTGAGCACTGCCGAGTGTAACCCCAAACCAAAAAGTACAGTATTTTAAAATAAAGTGTTTGGGGTCCAGAGTGACAGCAGGTTCCTTGCACGTGGCTGATGCAGGGTCAATCTTCCGCATTCTATGCAATCTCCTGAGCCCCACCAGGAGTGATGCCTAAGCACAAAGACAGGAATAAGTCCTGCACACCACTAGGTGTGTGCCAAAAACAAAGAAGAAATACTATGTGTTTGGGTCAGGGATGTGACACAGTGGAAGAGGATATGCATTTAGTTTGATCCTTGATATATAAAACAAAACAAAACTAAACTAAAATTAACCTCTTTATCTTGGAACTGAATTCTTATTTTCCATCAACTATATCTATACATATATACATATATATCATACAAACACTGAAGTCAACAAAAAAATCAAATCGGGCTGAGAGATCGTATAGGAGGAAAGGGGCTTGTATTGCATGCAACCAATTCTGGTTTGAATTCTGGCAACACATATGGGTCACTGAGCAACACTGGCATTTGAGTTCCAGCAGGTGTGCCCAACTCTCCCCCAACACTAACAAAAAATAATAACACACACACACAAAAAAAGAAAAAGGGAAAAGAAATCAAATCAGGGTTGGGATGAAGTGAATAGCAGAAAAGAAACTGACTACTTAGCTTAAGAGTCAATTTTTAAACGAATTTCTTTAGACAAAAGCTACATAGAAATTCTTGGTACAGAGATGAGATGTTAGTTGTATAAAGGCTTATTATTGTTTCCAGTGGTAAATATGAGTTAGTAAAATATGAAATATTACTAAAAGTTACTGTGTTTTGTTTGTTTTGTTGTGCAGCCACACATGGCAGTCCTCAAGGCTTACTTCTGGCTCTACGCTCAGGGTTCACTCCAGATAGTGCTCAAGGGATCAAAGTACTGGGAACTGAACCTAGATCAGCAGCGTGCAAGGCTATTGTATTTACTGTACAGATAATTACTGCTACTAATTCTCTGGCCCAGTCACTATTTGGAGGGAGTAGAGGGGTTGCTCACCACACCCAGCAATGCTTAGGTGTTACTCCTGGAGGGTTTAGTCGACTATATAGAATGCTACAGATGAATCCAGATCAGCCACTGTACTATGGTTCCAGCCCCACAGTCACTACTTTTTAATTTTTCACCCCCACCTTCCCTCTCCTTGGATGCACCTTTAGTACACACACACATTCTCAATGTAGTGCCTTCCACTTTAGCTATTGTGCACCAGATTACATCCTGGTGTGGCTCTCACAGCAGAGCTGTAAGACCTTGCTTGGAACATGTGGGTAGCAGTCAGGATGGAACTCGGGGCTACGCATTTGCAAGGCACTGAACTTTGCCCTGGGCCTAGGATCAGTGTCTGGAAGAATGATATCTCAGAGTCCAGAGATGTGGTCTGGCAGCAGAGCCCCTACCTTGCCCATGTGAGTGAGGATGTGAGTTCACTCTTCAGTACTGCTCTGCACTGTCACCAGCACTGACACTGTGATCATCCCTGGCACTCCACGTGTGACCACCAGCTTATACATTCCAACCAAAGACGATGGCTCCCAGGTATTACAGCAACAACAAAGGAAGGGGCTGGAGCGATAGCATAGCGGGTAGGGCATTTGCCTTGCATGCGGTCAAGCTGGGTTCGATTCCCAGCATCCAATATGGTCCCCTGAGCACTGCCAGGAGTAATTATTCCTGAGTGCAGAGCCAGGAATATCCCTGTGCAACACTGGATGTGACCCAAAAAGCAAAACAAAAAAACAAAAAAACAAAAAAACAAAAAAAAAAAAAAAAGGAAAAGGGAATGGAAAGCAAAAAAAAGAAAAAAAGAGGGTTCCTAGAATTATCAACAGAAGAATATGACCAGACACTGAAACACACCTTCTGTGAATATAGAGAGCAAGTGCTACAAAATCCAACATACCTCATCAAAAACACGAACATCATATGCAGAAAGTAATGTGCTTATGGAATAAATAAGACAAACTGTATGACAGTCTGCAGCTTCTACAGAGCCACGCCAGGATCACCTGGCCTGAGATCCAGGGGTCTGAAGGAGGCTTGTGGCTTCTGGGTGACACCTGCCAGTACTTAGGGCTAACACCTGGTTCGGTGCTCAGGGATCACTTCTGGTGGGGGTTGGGGGCCTATATGGAGTGCCACAGATCAAATTCAAGTATCTTACCCACTGTACTACCACTCTTGCCTCAGTGAAGACTTGAATGAAATCTCAACACAGCTCTAAGATAGAGCGTAAGACATGCCGTATTGCAAACATTTCCTACGCAGGATCATGATATCTGTGGGTGTTCAACTTCTCTGTTCTCCATCTTTTTAATGCAGCCCCTACCTTGCTTGTGTGAGTAAGGCTGTGAGGTCACTCCTGGAATATCCCCTGAAAGGTGAAGGGTGACATGCAGGCAATAAGAGAAGCTTTGCAAGCCTCCCTGGTTGACTTGGTGAACTTTCTCCTAAATCTCTATGCTTACTGATTCAAGGTACACAACAAGTTCAGGTATCAACTATGGGAATCAAGGGGGGGTCAAATCTCAGTATGATTAAGTACCATGCCTAGGTCACCCCCAAGCAGTACAGACTCATACACTGAGTCCATGTCATGCTCTCTTGCAGTCCTTCCTCTCACTCATCATCAGTGACAGGATAGACAGAACATGATTGTGATTGTTTCTGCCCAGAACCACAAGGAATGACCTCACTGGACCAAATAGGTTGCCTCTTGGCAGCTAAGGTACAATTGGAAAAGGTACAACTGGAAAAGGAAAACCATCAACAAAGCTACCGCTCCTCTAGTACCAACTAAACTTCATAGATACACAAAATTTGTTACTGGAAGAACAAAGATGTCTACATATGTGTCAACCACTGGCCAAGCAACTCAACTGTCTTGCTGAAGTGAGACAGGGTGACATTCTGAATGGCAACAAGCACAGAGATTTATTCCAGATTCTGTGGAATGTGCTGAACAGGCACCACGTATCTCTGAGCCTCAGTTTCCTGTAAGAGTTGTTGTGACCGGGCTGGAGTGATAGTACAGCAGGTTGGGTGCTTGCTCTGCCATCGCCAGACCAGGTTTCATGCCACATGGTCCCCTGAATCTGTCAGGGGTGAACCTTGAGTGCAGAGCCAGGAGTAATCCCTGGGCACCACCAGGTGTGGCCCCAAAACAAAACAAAATGAACAAAAAAAGATTTGTTCTGGTCATCAGTGAGAATGAGCAAGTCCCTCCACAGACATTTCTCAAAAAGTGAAATAATGATCTCTGACACTGCTAATGGGCTCAACCCCAGCACACAGGAGGTAAGGGTGAAGGAGTTTCCTTACATTTTCTGACACACAAGGTCCTTTCACATTCAGAGATATACAAGGTCCAATGGCTCCTGAAATCTTCAGTTCCCTAGAGGTCTAGAAAAGAATTACATAAGAGTGTCAAAATAAATAGATACAACCGCCCTGCTCCACTGAGCTACATTTACAAGATTAACAATTCTACCAACAATAGATTCTTTTCCTATCCCTTATAAATAGTCATCATGACTTACAATTTCTTATCTATCACCATAATACTTTTTAAAATTTATTATTTTTAAGGTTTTTTTTTAATGAATCACCATTGGGTACAGTTACAGACTTACAAACGTTTGTGCTTATGTTTCAGTCATACAATGATCGAGTACCCATCCCTCCACCAGTGCATTCTCCACCACCAATGATCCCAGTATCTCTCCCCCCCATACCCCTCTTACCTCTGTGGAACATAATGTTTTTGTGTCGCTTTAGAAACAATTCAAAAATTCTAGCATAGTGACAAGGCTAAGATTTTAAAATCAGAGTTCATCAAAAGCCCATCACTCTGCATCTTAAATGATAAACACGTAAAAACTTTATTTAAAGTTTAACTTAATGATTACATTCAATTCTCAAATGAGCAATTCTAATCATTTGGTCCAGTACTGTTCCTCCCCTCGCTTTTTTACTAAATTACTCAAAATTAAGAGTACAGGCTACCAGTTCCTAATGGAAAAACATAAACCCCATTCACAATGCCACAGCCCTGGAGTGCTCTGGCGAGTCTGCAGCGCACAGACTACAGATCTGTGCATGCAGTATCCCATACCAATGGGTAGATGAGCATCTGACACCCAGTGTGACTGCTTCTGCTCAGTCCTCTACCACTTCTACTTCCTACTGTCTGAAGTAGAGCAGAGAAGAGCCTGCAGAGAAGCAGACTACTCTGTTTACAATACCCATTAAATATGCTTGTCAGCAGATAGAAAGAATCCCTGGAGAAGAATATGCCTCGAGGGCTGCCTTTTGTAAACTTTCAAATCCACCTGTATAAGCCTGTGCTGCTAAGTTGAGGATTCCCCAAGTCAACAATTAAATAAGAATCCTATTCTTCTACTGAAAATTTAGAAATCTCTAGTACCTTTACATCCAAAGTAGCCCCAAATGCCATTCGGAAATCTCCATTAAAATCTTTACTAAAAATCCTCTGAAATGTCTGTTTGAAGAGAGAAGTATTGAAAGAATCTCCCATCACCATGTGGCCCCTAAAGAAGAAAAAAAAAAAAAGAAAAGAAAAGTGAGCAAATGTTTAGGATTACTAAAGCCATTCAAACATCCCCTCCATATTTATGAATAACAATTCTAAAAAGAAAGAAAATATCTCCAGGGCAAATGGGGGTGATTAAATCAAGACAAATAAAGGGGACAATACATAAACATGATTTTCAACAATGCACACTTGAAACCTATATAAGGATATGGTTCTACTTGAATAAAAATTAAAAAAAAAATAAAAACCATAAAGGTTGGGGACAGAGCTCAGAGACTGGACGGCATGTTTTGCATATAGGAGCACCAATAGAACCAATATCCAAACTTTGACACTATATGCTCCCTCAGGAAGATCCGTGTCTACAAAGGTGCTGCCTATGAATTTAAATGGAAAGTAGGAAATTAAATTTGTATTGAGAAAATATGCTTAAAATATTTCAAACAACTCTATATTATCTTAATCACTGTGGTTATTGCACAAATTATAAAGACGATAAAATCTCTCTTAAAAATATACACACACAACACCAAAACAATAAGTGTGTAAAACCTGGTGAAATCAAAGCGGATGTGTAATATAAATTGCATTGTGTCCAGATGGACCAAATCCACAGTGGGTAGGCACTTGCCTGGCATGCAGCCAACTAGGATTCGACCTCTGACACCACATATAGTTCCCTAAGCCTTGCCAGGAGTGACCCCCGAGCACAGAGCCAGGAGTAAGGCCTGAACACGAAATCAAACAAACTGTGTGGCCCAAAAACAAAAACTGCATTGTGTCAATGTCATTTCCTAGTTTTGATATTGTGCTGTACTTAGGTGATATAATGTCAATGCGATTTCTTGATGAAGTGTACTTTTGCAATGCATTGTTTTTTGGTTTTTGATCATGGTGCTCAGGGTACCTTATGCAGTGCTGGGGATCAAATGCAGGTCAATCACATGCAATGCAAGCACCATAAGTCCTGTACTCTCTTTCTAGCCCCTGCAATTTCTTTAAATTTTTTTTTTAAGTGAATCACCTCGAGACACACAGTTATAAGGCTGTGCCTGATCAGGTTTCAGTCCTACAATGTTCCAACACCCATTTCTCTACCAGTGTATATTTCCCACCACCAATCCCCCACTTTTCTCTCCTGCAACCCCTCTCCCCACAGTCTGTTTCTACAGCAGGGACTTTCTCTTTTTCTTTCTCTATCTCTCTCTCTTTCCCCTCATCCTCCCTTCCTCTCCCCAACCCCCTTTTGGGCATTATGGTTTGCAATACAGATATTGAGAGGTTATCATGTTTGTTCCTTTACCTACTTTCAGCACACAGTTCTTATCCGGAGTGATCATTTCCAACTATCTTTGTCACAGTGGTCCCTTCTCTATCCCAACTGCCTTTTCTACAAGGACTTAAAAAGCAGGTTTCCAATCCTCCTGGCCCTTGTTTTTACTGTCTTTGGGTATTAGTCTCTGTATGTTTTTTACATCCCACAAATGAGTGCAATCATTTCTGTCTGTCCCTCCCCCTCTGACTCATTTCACTCAGAACTGACACTCTCCATGTTCATCTATTTATAAGCAAATTCCATGACTTCAATTTCTTATAGATCAAATTATTTCAGTTAAAAAAAAAAAAGAGTCCTTCCATCACGAAGCCACAGATAAATGGGTTAACTAGTGAGAAAATATCTCAATGCCCTCACAATTCTTTGGCATGGGAAAATATCCAGCGCACTAGGACATCCTTTCAAGCTAATTCACTTCTTCAAAACATTAAATCCTTGGCTTTGAGTGAATTATTTTTTCCAGTTTATGAACACTCATCCCTTTTTCTTTTATTAATTTTGATTTGATTTCGGGGTCCTCCCAAACAATGCCTGGGGATCCTTGGGCCACGCTAGTGATGATAGACCACCTGGGCCAGATGATTCAACACTTGGACCCAGCAACATGGAGAGCACAGGAGTCACGCCCTATGGTCCTTAGAGCCTTGCATGTACTCCTGCCCTTCATGCTATCTCCTGGCCCTCTTCACCCCCTTTCTAAGGTCAGAGGACTATACTGTTCACAGATTCAGCATTTTATGCATCGGGACAGATAAATCCAGCTTTGATGTAATGTGTGGTTCCAATTACCATTTATAACACAGGATTCTCAGAACTGATAAGAGTATCTGGCCCAACTATCTCTTGTATCTGACTTCCAGTGACAGAGACGACTTGATCCCAAATATTCACCCAGTCCCTCTCTTCGTTAGTCACAGGACGCAGGGCTTGCTGGAAGAAAGAGCTATCCCAGCCCCTCCTGCATATGGCTTCTGACTCTGGCAGTGGCCTCTGTGATGTGAGGGAAGGGAACCCTTCCTCCTTCCTGCAGAAACATGGCTAGAGCCCAGAACTGACACAGAATGGTAGTGGAGATGCACAGGAGCCGCTGACCTTGAGATGATGAAAACCAATGATGGCCTCCAGGGAAGAGATGGTTTGGGGTCCCCTGATACACTTACACCAGCTCTCAGGTCTAACTGCTGAGTCAGTTACGGGGAGGAATCACTTGTGAACTCCTCCAGCGCAGGCACTGTCTCGTTCATATGCTCGTCTTAGGCGTCTTCCTTTGCAATACGTGAAATTCTGTTTCCAGCAACTTGAACCACTGATTCAAGCTCTACCCTTTCGTTCCATAAGGAACAAATATGATGTCTTCCCCTTAGAACAGCCCTTCAGTTGCAGAATACAGTTTTCACACTTCATTCATGTTGAATGTGATTTTCTGCAGAATTTTCTCCACTGGAAGTTTTCAGTGACTCTCACCACTCACTCTTACTGCTTCCCTTCTTCTACACACCCCTTTCCCATTGGCATGCAGCCAGACTATAATCTTCAGGTTTATACCTTTCAGGCTATAATTTTCTACAGAAACCAAGACTGTAATCTTCACTGAGAACGACTCCTATTACCACGGAACAGAGCCTTTTAAGAGTCAATCATCCTCACTGATGTGAGTGCCCAGAGAGTGAGTGCCCAAACTCAAGGGCTTAAAGCACCTGCCCTGAAAACATATGGTTCCAGATTAAAAATCCTGGTATCCCACATATGACAAATATGATCCTGGCAGTTCAGCTGTTTCAGTTTAGGAGTTCTGCTGCCTGTGATCCAGGTCCCACAAGAATTTCTAGACACACTGCAACCAGGTATAGAAATTCCATCAAAAAAGTAGCATGACCTCCAATGAGTTCCACGACTAAAATGATGTGCAGGAACTGGGGGAAACGCTTAAAGGGCTAGAATACATGCTTTGCATGCAGGAGCCCCAGGTTCAAGCCTATCACTGCATATGGCTGCTCTGGTACCACTGGATATAGTCCAAAAGAAAAGGAAAGGAAAAAGAATAGAAAAAGGTGGATGAACTACAGCCAAGAACTACAACCTCTGGCAAACACATGTGTGTACCCTGACGAAAGCACATGGGGGGTGGGGGAGAGGGGGAAAACACGACCAGATGAATGCAAACTTCAGTGAGCATCATGGCCGACTGTAGGCACCAAAATCTAATGCACAATTTGGAAAGCACTGGTGTCAGGCCTGTGTGCAACCCCAGGTCACTACAATAGCATTAACCCCCACAAAAAAAAGGGAAGAACATCTGGGGCGACCCAGAGCAGGGGCAGTGGGTGAGTCCCTCTGCCTGCCCCACGAGAAACCCGGCAGCAGAAAACTTGCAGAACCAAAATGCAGCCATATTCATGGCTGATCTCCACAGGCTCGGGAAAAGCCTCATCCACAAGAATGAATCTGCTAAAAAACTCAGTCATGTGCGTTTTGTGACCAAAATCTCCAGGTTCTCATGGAGTCGGGAATGGGCGACCTACCCCCATCTCCCTGTGCTTCCTAGAGCCTGGCAGTCACACTCACAAACTGCCTCTGGGGCCATATAAGCTCATTATCAGCCATGATCCAGAGACACATAAACAAGTCACGGAAGAGAAAGAGAGCAACATGCTGCAGAGATGCCTCTACACCCCAAAGTTACCATTCAGTTAAAAATTTTAACTCTAGCTGTATCGTCTGATTTAAAAATTTAGAATTCCAGAGATGACATCTCATACTCTACATCACTGACGTATCAAGAGTAGCATATCACATTTAACTGGGTATAATGTAGAAAGTAACCTATTTTGATTGAGAAAAAAATATATATATGTTCATAAGTACACAAGGGGCAATCTATAACATGTTAGTAGTATCTTATACAAGAGCTTAATGGCTCCAGGGTGAGATATAACACTCTTCACACACTTTCCTCTAAGGAAACTTTTTTGGATCATTTTTAGCGGTGTACTCATAACAAGCAATAAAAAATAACATTCCGTATGTGCTTTGGAGGCAGGTTTGGGTAGTGGTGAGAAATTTCAAAATAATGGTGATAGGATGGTGTAATGGTGTTGGGATTGATATTAGAATATTGAATGTAATAAATTATTGTGAACAACTTTAAAAACAAAAAAAAAGAAAAAAGAGGAAAGGGGTGGGAGACAAAATATTTTAAAACGTGTTTTAGAGCCAGAGCAATAGTACAACAGCATTCCAAAGGCATTAGTCTTGCACGTGGCCAAACAACCTGGGTTGGATCCTGGTACCACATATGGTCTCTGAGCACCACTAGGAATAATCCCTGAGTGCAGAGCCAGGAGAAAACCCTTGCCAGGTGTGGCCAAACACAACAATTTTTTCAAATGAGATTTAAAAGAATCTGATCTAAGTGATGGCCTCTTTCCAGATACACACAACACTGGTATAAAAACTAAAGGAAAGTCACAAACAACCTCGAACTTTTTGTTGTTGGAGTTTTGGGGGAATATCTAGTGAAGCTCAGGATTTCTTCCTGGTTCTGCACTGTCAGGTATCACTCTGGGTGGAGCTCCAGGACCCATAGGCGAAGCTGGGGATCAAAAAGCCAGGTCAGTTGTGTGCAGGGCAGTGTCATACCACTGAGCCATCACTCCAGTCCCACACCTAACACTTTTAAGCTCCAAGGCAAGAACTGAGAGAAGACATAGGGTGGGGTGGCGGGAGGTGGGGAGAATGGACAGAGCGGGGAGTTCCATGTTGCCACACGGTTGCTCAATGACAAAACACTATCAGTTGTCATTTGGGACTCCATCACGTGACAAAATTTCTTCTGTCCTCTAGGACAGCTTCAGGTGACTAAGTCTCTATCTTCTACCTTCTACGTTCTCCTGAATACAATCAGCAGAAGCACCATAGTCTCACGTACGAGCAGAACACACCCTTATTCAGCAGTGCTCTTTAAACTGCACTGCGCAGGAGCTGAGGGGCAACTCCAGGGGCTGACAGCACGCTCTCAAAATCCCCAGGATGACTGGTAGCAACCCCAAAGCACAGAGCTGGGAGAAGCCCTAGAGTACCAGTGTGTGTAACCCAACCCCCACCCCCACCCCGCAGGAACCCAACTGTTCTGTGCATTAAGATTATCTGGGATACAATTCAAATGCTTGTTGGTTCAGTCGCTAGAGGGCAGCAGTTCCCTGATTTACTTGGCCTACCAGCTTCTTTTCAGGAAAAAAAATTAAAAATTACTCAGTGGTCCTGTGGGGTGGGGGGAGGGAGGAAGAGGCGGTGGGGGGCGGGTGCAGGGAATAAATCTATTTTCTAAGCCAGAGAGATTATAGCAGCTTGAGGTACTTGCTCAGGGACTGCATATGGTTCCCCAACCAAGAGTGACCCTGAGAAAAGAGTCAGCCTGAACACAAGCAGGTATGGCCCAAAACCCAACAGAAAAGACACTTTCTTCAGCAAATAAAATGTGCAATTGCACTCAAGGATACTTCCACCTCGATTGTCCCGTATCCCAAGGTGACAGTCCCATCACTTTGGGAATGCTGCTGTAGTGTGCAGGACCAACATGCTGCATGTCTGGCCTGCTCTCCAGCAGGGCTCATGCTTTTCAAGCCCAGACACTCTGAGCTCTAAGTGGCTCTCAGTACTCCCAAATGGTTCTTTAACTCTGCTCCACATTAAAATCATCTGGGAGATTTTTTAAAATGTGGAGGTCCAGGCAATACCCTGTGCTGATGAAATCAGAATCTCTGGGGACAAGACTTAAAGCCCGAACTGTTTTTTCAAATGTCCCCAGATGATTCAGACCAGCATGACTTACCAGTGGTCATACCAGAATCCCCTGGGAAACTGGCGAAAAATTGACTGCTGGCCCATACACAGAGAGTGTATGACTTGGGAGGTTGGAGGCGGGACTGGGGGAGACACAATTCTTATCAGTTCCCCCAAGAGGCCCTGAGGTGGTGGCCAGGCACTGCCCACTGAGAAGCATGGCTGGACACTATGACCTGAGCACAGGGGGACTTAGACTCAAAGGCAGGTGCCAGAGAAGCACCCTCCAAAGCTGGCTGAGCACTGGCAAGGGTCTCCTAACTGAACTTCCCGATTCCCCCCATTCCTTCCTACATGGCTCCACTGAAGGCCACCTCCTTGAGACTTCTCGGCCTGGTCTCTGGAAGTAGGTTCTCTGGGAGATGCAAAGGGAGAAATGAAGCTGCTCTGCTGTAACTTGTTCACAGTGCATCCCAGGGATCTGCAAGTAACTGCTCCTTCCCAAGAGGGTATGGATCCAGCCCACGCACTAAGTCTGCAGCCTACAGCGACTGGGAAGGTTCTTTAGGTCGGCTTTGTACATTCCTGTGCTTTCATCCCTCAGTTCATTTCTCTTACTTAAACTAAACATGTACTTTCTTAGGTGCTGAATAGCAACATACCCAGTCAGATTTGTACAACACTTCATCTCCAAAAGTCCAGTTTGGTCAAGAGCGCAAGCATAAATATCAATGCAGTGCCCATTGGTAGCAGTTCGATTAGCCAGCATCTCATAGTGCTGTGAAGAGAGGAAAACTATCTTTATGACACAGTAACATTATTTTCTGGTATGCCTTACTATGCCTAAGTGATATAATCAAATCTAGGAACACAAGAGATCGTTTCCTTTAATTATTTCTGTGAAGCAAAATAGCTTTAAAGGACTTTAGAGAGATGTGGGTGGTAAGAGTGGGAGAGAACACATATGTTTAAGAGAAAACACAGGCTTCTCCAGAAAAAAAAAAAAGCAGAAGAAAAAAAAAACTTTGTTTAAAGACAACAAAGGCTTGGGAGATTGTTTCTTTTAAAGCATCCAAATAAAATTGTCATTTTTCATCTTAAAACACCTTGAAAATTTTTGGCCACCTCTTCTGATGAGGGCATCAGGGTGAAGTAGTAAGTTAGCAGAAGTCAGTATCTGCAAGCGAAGCCGCAGGCCACAAAGTCTGGTCTTGGTAAAAGAGCTGCAACTTCACACTACCCTAGACCCCACCAGGAATTACCACACCACCAGTGTGTGAAGTGAGCAGCACCTACCTTGGTTGCCTTTTTCATGAAGCGTGCATTGTCTTTCTCAATATCATGCCAGGAACGAATAGGAACCTTTAATTCATCTCCAACCACCATGCCAGGTCCTTGGGTGGGAGGACCCCCAGTGAACAGCATGATCCTGGCTCCAGTATTTGGAAAAGTGCCCTAAAACAGTAAAGTCCATGCTTTAAAAGCCACCCCCACCCCACCCCCAAGAAAAGGGGTGTACTTCTCTAAAGAAGTACACCAAACCTAAGTTCTCTTCAGCTGTTCTGAATCCTCACAGTACCACAGAACAATGTAGATGACGATATACAGAGCAATTTTCCAAGCCTAAATGTTTTGTATACTTTTGTTTGGTTTTGGATTTGGGGTCACACTCGACAGTATGCAGGACTCACTCTACGCTCTGAGCTTACTTCTCTGGGATCACTCCTGGCAAGACACAGGGGACCACATGTGGCCAAGGGCTGAACCCAGGTTTGCAGCATACAAGGTACAACGCTTTACCCAGTGTACTATCCCTCTGGACCCTCAAACAATTTTACTCCTTTAACTGGGTGGTTACTATTTTTTTTTGGCACCACACCCAGCAGTGCTCAGGAATGACTTCTGGCTCTGCATACAGGGATGACTCCTGGCAGTGCCAGGGATCAAATCCAGGTTAGCTATGTGCAAGGCAAGTGCCCTATCCGCTGCTGTACTATCTCTCCAGCCCATACTTTCGTTTCTCTACTATGAGCACTTCTGTGGCCCTAATGGCTTTCAGCTTCTCATTTAAACTGCTGGTATTTTCAAAACACTGAGAAGCTCCTAAATGTGGAGAGAAAGACAGAAGCACTTTCTGAGACATAAACATAGCTAACATAGGTCATGACTGAGCTCCAAACAAAGCCAAACAAACTACTGAGAGCAAGCTTCGTCATGTGAAAGGTTCCAGTAAATTCTGAGTTACCTCCAATAAGCCAACAGCAATGGACAAAGCAACACCAGTGGATCGCAAAGGCCTCTTTCCCTGCGTTACAGGCCACGGGTCCCTCTGCAGCTCCCCAAGAAGATCAGTCAGGGTCATGTCAATCTTATGAACAGGCTGTAGGAATCTGCATGATTTTGAAAGGACACATCAATCTGGGTCTAGTAATGTACTCTCATCTTCAACTCTGGGAGATATAGTTAGCACCTCTCAAAATAATTATTCCAAAATTTTTTTTAAAGTATTATTTCCCTCTTCACAACTATTTTAAACTATAACATGGAACAACTCAAACCAACTTTTTTCTTTTTTGCTTTTTGGGTCACACCCGGCGATGCACAGGAGTTACTCCTGGCTTTCACTCAGGAATTACTCCTGGCGGTGCTCAGGGGACCATATGGGATGCTGGGAATCGAACCTGGGTTGGCTGCGTGCAAGGCAAACGCCCTACCCGCTGTGCTATTGCTCCAGCCCCAACTCAAAGCAACTTTATTTAGGAATTTAAGTTAAAGCCAACTATACAGTAATGTATATATGCACTGGGGGGAAAAAAATCAAGTCAAGGAAGAAAAAGTGAATTCAGTTTTAAAATATTTTCAGGGGAGTGGATTTTGGGCCACACCTGGTATTCCTGAAAGCTTACTCCTGCACTCAGAGATCACTCCAGGAGGTGCCTGGGGCACCATATGTAGTGCCAGAGAAGACATCTGGGTCAGCTGCATATAGGGAAAGTGTCCTACCTACTGCACTGTCACTCTGGCCCCAATTCAAATACTTTTTATGCAGCAAAGAAGTCCTAAAGACGGGCCTCAATTTCATGCAAAGGTTCATGCAAAGGTTCATTTAGGAGAATAACCTTCTACTGTATTCCTTTTGAGACTTGGGGGCAATAAAGCAGCACTGGTTTCTTACCATAGTAAGAGTGTTGTCGCCCAACATGTCAGGCAATGCATTTTATCATGTTTGCCAACTGTTAACCTGACTGGAGGCATGTCTAGGAACCCAAGAAGATGACTGAGTGGAGTAGGTGCCTGGTGTCAGATTCGTTTGGGGAAATCCAAGAGAAATCTTTTCGGTTTCTCAGTTTTACTTGCGTCTAACAGAAGGCAGTTTACAGAGATCTCAAAACCCTGATGATGATATAACACTATCAGGAAAACCATGACGGGCAAATTGCCACACACATATATAGACATATAACTACTCTGGAGGGGAAGAGAGAAGAGTATCAGGGATTAAATCCAAGATCTTAGAAATAAGCACTTTACTAATGAGCTACATCCCCAGCTCCTAAATACGATCCACTTGTACATTCCAAATATAGTCTAATATACCATGAACATTATGAGACATTAAGTGTTGATTAAGACAATCATGGGGCAGGAGTGAAAATACAGCTTGTAGGGCACTTGTCTTGCATACAGCCAACCTGGGTTCAATCCTCCAGTACCACAAATAGTCCCTGAGCATCACCAGGAGTGATCCCTGAGCACAGAACCAAGATTAAGCCCTGATTTGCTGGGTGTGATCTCCCACCGCCCCCATTCTCCCCCAAAATAAATATAAGTTAGACAATCACAGTTTTCTCTCTAGAAATCAGGAAGTCACAGTCATACCGTGACAGCCCCTTCTGTTCCCTGCCAATCACACCATGTACTGTGGAGGCTCACCTGCTGGAGATAAACGGGTGCTCTTGTGGCTGAGCGGGTCTTCCTTGCTGCATGGGCATGGCAGGTTTGGACAGGCCCAGCATGTCCTAAAAGACCAAAATGAGTCATTTCCTGGAACACGGAAAGTGAATAAGGAACTCATTCTAAGATAACGCCCTCCCTGTTCAGGTACAAACCTGTATTTGCTTTGCAGTTAAGTCTTTGGTCCCACGGAAGACATAACTTTTGGAGATTCCTTCACAGCTGAGCTCGTGGACCTGTACCATCCTCCCAAATGTGATCAAACCCACCAGAGCATTTGGAGGCAGGAGACTCAGGGACATCTGAAGGGATTCTTTGAGGGCTTGAAGGTCATCTTCTTCTAGGCATGTGTCAACCACATAGAGGAAGATCAAAGGAGTCTGGGGACCTCGCTTTAGACAAAGACCAATACACAATTAGACACTGTCCATTCTATTTTTTAAGTCAATGATGTATGAAAATAAGTTTTTATCTGTGTTTATTATCCAGTGGGAAGGACATCTAAACAAACCTCTCCTTACCTCATTACGAGACAGGTTCTATTAAAATGGATTAAATGAAAAAACTATTGGTATCCAAAGCTTATACAATTCTGAATGTTTTCTGTGTGCCAGACATTATTGTAGGTTCTGAGAAATGTATGTGAGCCACATATCAAAGATCTCTACCTGCCTCAAGATGTTAACTTTCTGGATTGAAAGAGAAGAGCCCAGAGCGATAGTATAGTGGGTGCAGTGTTTGCCTTGCATTCCGCTGTATGTGATGACCCAAGTTCGATCCCCGATACTCCATATGGTCCCAGAGCCCACCAGGAATGATCTTTGAGCTCAGAGTAAGCCCTGAGCACCACTGGGTATGGCGCAAAAACTGGAAAAGAGAAAGACAGAGAAAGGGACAGAGGCAGGGGGCGGGGGGAGCAAGAGAGGGTGGGGGAGAGAGGGAGAGAGAGACAGGCGGTATGTGAGTTGTGGGTACAGAAGTTGGGGACAGTCAGGACAGCTTAATTAAAAAACAAACAAAAGACAAACAACCCATCTGGGTTTGCTTGCTTGCTTTTCTTCCAAGTCTATGCTCTCTCTGAAACACGAATTCCTCTTTCCCTCCCATCACATCTCTCTCTCTCTAAACTTTACCTTTCAATAATAAATAAATAATAGCCTGGCTGGAGCGAGAACTCACTGAGCCAGAGCTCAGACTTTGCAGGCAGGAGGCCCCGGTTTGATCAAGGGCATCTCCGAGGACCTTGAGCACTGCTGGGAGACATCTCCAACCCCCAAGCAGGGAGCAGACCCTCAGCACAGCTGGGTGTGGCACAGAAACCAAAAGCAATACCAAGTAACATCTGAGCATAAACTTCATGGGAAAAAATTGAAGAAGGAGTAACAAAGGGGATAGAAAATTCTAAGAAAAGTTGAGGAAAGAAAATTCTGAGAAAAGCTAGAGCTAAGGCCCACCGGCTTGAATGTGCTGGAAACCGAGTAAAGGCCAGGGGAGAACCACCTGAAATGCATCAGGACAAATGTTGACATGAGTGGAAGCAGAGGGCAGACTCACACATAGCTATGAAGACTGACTCTGGATGAAAAAGAAAGATTCCGCCATGCTCAGACACTTGCAGGGGTCTGAACATAGAAGAAATGTGTTATGTCTTTACAGAATTACTTTCTGCTTGATGGAGAAAAAATGTATAAGCAACAATGGGTAAAATCAGGCAGAAGAGATGAGACTGATCAAGTCAATAAAATGTTAGGAGAAGTGTGGTGGCCTCACCCAAGAAGGGATTTGGAATACACAGACCCAACAGGATTTCCTAGAAGATAAGAGATGGAGAGGGCAAAGAGAGGTCAGGGAGAACTGCAGGGTTCTGAGCAATTAGAAGATGGAATAGCAACGGAGATGCAGAACAGCTTTGACACTGAACTGGTGCTTCCTTTTGGGGGAGGAGGGGCCAGGGTGTGTGTCTTCTTTCCAGACCTGAAAACGATCCCAGTAAACGCACAGATACCGTAACTGAATGTTGAGGGCTTTGGCCCTCACAGCTTTAAATCATCAGATATAAAAGGCAAGGAAAAGAAGATATTTTGAGAGAAACCCAACATTTAAAATGCTCATAAAATGCCTAAGTTACCTGTATCACGTACTCAATTGTAGAAAACTGAGGCATCAGTTCGGCAGGCTGATTCGTCTCAGCGATGCCTGTATACGCTGGAGGAAACTGAAGAAAACAAAACAAAACCAAAAAACATTTTACTAAGGCTAAAAAATATTGATAGCTTTTCAATTCAATGAATTTTTTGGCTTCTGGACCACAGCAGGCAATGATTAGGTGCTACTTATGGCTCAGTGTTCCAGAGCTGAAACTCAGCCCTGCCTGGGGACCATGGAGTGCTAGTTCTCAAAAGCGAGCCTCCTGGGTTGGAGATAGGACAGTCGGCATGACACTTGCTCTGCAATATGACTGACCCAGGTTCGATCCACAGCAACCCGTATGGTCCCCTGAGCTCCCCTGAGCATAGAGCCAGAAGTAAGCCCTGACACCACCAGGTAGGAGCATCACTCCCAAGAAAAAATCAAATGTGGGCCCCCTACAAAGCAGGCACTCAGTCCACTGAGTTGGCTCTCTGGCCCTCTTTGCTAATTCATAAAAATAATTGCTGCAACAAAGTACAAAAGTACTTTAGAAAGTAAAAAAAAAAAAAAAAGAATAAACTACTAAGATTTCCAACAGAATTTAAAACCTAAAACCTGCCTTATATCTATATATAAAACTTTTATAAAATGTAGTTTAAGATTCTAACTACTTAATGATTAAAAATAATACTATTTAAGGCTAGTCCAAGTGCGATGGTGTTTACGATTAAATGATCACAGTCAGTTACAGATTTCTTGGGGCTGGGAGAGATAGCATAGCAAATATGACACTTGCCTTGCACGCAGCCAACCCAGTTTTGATTCCAAGCTGAGTCCCTGCCAGCAGTGATAATCAGGTGTGGCCCAAAATTAAAAGATGATTTTTGGGGACAGGAGGGCCACACCTGATGGGGCTCAGGATTTACTCCTGGCTTTGTGCTCTGGGATCACTCCTGGAAGACTCAGGGGAACTATGGGAAGCTGGGTATCACACCTGGGTTAGCTGTGTGCAAGACAAGTGTCTTACCCACTGTACTATCGCTCTGCAACCCCACCAAGATAAAAAGTTTTAAAAATCATACCAGTTAGTTGGGTCTTATTTATTTATTTGGGGAGGGGGTTGGGGCCATCTCCGGTGATCAGAGGTCACTCCTTGTCACAGGAGACCATATGCAGTGTCAGGGTTGATCTGGAGTGATCTGGGTTGGCTGCATGCAAAGCAAGTGCCCTTACTGCTGTACTATTTCTCTGGTCCTTTAAACCATTGTAAGTGCTGCTCTGCAACAGAAGACTGAGATTTTAGCTATCTCATAACCAGCCTATAAGGATGATTAAAGATTTAATTTTGAGTTGGCTATTATCATGAAGTGACATATATTCATTGTAGAAAAATATAAAGAAACTGTAAAGAAAATGTGAAGGAAAATTCTCTCTTTCTGTAGTCTTTGCAACATTTTCAGGTTATAGCTTATAGGATTATTTGTTTAGTTTTGTTTCATTTTCAGTTCCCACCCCTCCAGTGCTCAGGGATTACTCCTGGCAGGTTCAGAGAACCATATGGATTACCAGGGATCAAACCTGATCAGCCGCATGCAAGGCAAGTGCCATACCTGCTGTACCATCATCTCTCAGGTCCCTAAGCTGATTTTTTTATTATAATAAAACACATATAAATTTTACTATCATCTTTTTATAAAGTCTAATTAAAAAAACTTTTTTTCCCTTTCCACACTGAGCAATGTTCAGGGCTTACTCCTGGCTCTGTGCTCAGGGATCGCCTGTGGTGAAGCTGGGGAACCATATGGAATGCCAGAACTTTGGTCGGCTACATGCAAAGCAAGCATGCTACCCATTGTTATACCGTGTGTGTGTGTGTGTGTGTGTGTGTGTGTGTGTTGGGGGGAGGGGTGCAGACACATCCTGCTGTACTCAAGGCTTTCTCCTAGCTCTGTGCTCAGTCACTTCTGATAGTGCTGAGGGTCACTAGGGGACCATGTGCGCGGCAAATGTCCTACCCACTGTATTGCTCGATCCCTGGCTCTGCATTTTAAATAATTATAAATATGCAGAGTTGGGAATCAAACCCATATCAGCTATGTGCAGGGCAAGTGCCCTATCTACTGTACTCTCTCTGTGACCTTTTAGTGGTTTTAAATATAGTTCATGCTGTACATCCATCTCCCCCGTCCGCATCAAGAGCGCTTTTTATCTTGGAAGACTGAAATTCTAATATATTCAAACAATGGTTCTCCATTCTCCCTTCTCTCCACCCAGGCTCCTGAATACCACAGTTCTACTGTCCCACTCTGTGAGTCTGATTACTCCAAAAAACTCATAGAAGAATGATACAGCATTAATGTTTTGTGACTAGATTATTTCCCTTAGCAAAATAACCTCAAAATTCATGCACACTGTGGCACAAACTGGAATTTCCTTTGATTTTAATGTCAAATATTTCATGATGTATTTGTACTACATACTGTATATTTGGGCTGGGACGATAGCACAGCGGGTAGGGCATTTGCCTTGCGTGCGGCCGACCCAGATTCAATTTCTCCATCCCTCTCAGAAAGCCAGGCAATACTACCAAGAGTATCCCACCCACATGGCAAAGCCTGGCAAGATCCCCATGTCATATTCGATATGCCAAAAACAGTAACAACAAGTCTCACACTGGCGATGTTACTGAGCAAATCGATGAACAACGGGAGGACAGTGCTACAGTGCTACTGTGTATTTATCAATCAGTGGAAACTTCTACTTTTTTGCTCTGATGAATAAGATTTCATGAAGATGGGCGTACAAAGCACCAAGACCCTGCTTTCAATTTTTTGAGTGTATATCCAGAAGTGGGATTTATAGATAATCTGGCAAATGTCACCAACAATTTCTAATGCAGGTATTTTTCATGTGCTCTGATCCATTGTCCATTTATTTTATTTTATCTTTATTATTTATTTTTCCACTGCCCCCCCCCCTTTTTTGCTCTTTGGGTCACACTCGGTGATGCACAGGGGTTACCCCTGGCTCATGCACTCAGGAATTACTCCTGCTGGTGCTTGGGGGACAATATGGGATGCTGGAAATCGAATCCGGATCGGCCACGTGCAAGGCAAACATGCTATGGCTCCAGCCCCCCCCCCCCGCCCATTTTTTAACTGTGTGTTTTTGTTGCTATTGTTAGTACTCCATATCTCCAGGATATAAATCACTAGTCATGGAACTTGCAAATATAAATATAGAGGAGAGTTTTTGGCAGCACCTGGGCTGAGAATTGAACATGGGATCTCACACATGAAAGGCAAGTATTCTACCACTGAGCCATAGCCCTTAACCCTTTATTTGCAAACATTTTTATCCATTCCGTGGGTCACTGTTTTACTCTAATGACATTGCTTTTTTTAATGCCTTTGCCTTTTGTTTTGTTTTGGGACCACACCTGGGGGCACTCAGGGCTTACTCCTGGCTCTGTGCTCAGGTATCAGTTCTGGTGGGCTCTGGGGAATACCTGGGATGCTGGAATTCGAACCCAGGTTGGCCATGTGCAAGGCAAATGCCTTACACACTATACTATTGTTCAACCCCTGGCTTTGCCTTTTTTTTTTTTTTTTTGCTTTTTTGGGTCATACACAGGGGTTACTCCTTGCTCTGCATTCAGGAATTACTCCTGGCGGTGCTCAGGGGACCATATAAGATTCTGGGAATCCAATCTGGGTTGGCTGCATGCAAGGCAAGTGTCCTACCTGCTATGCTATCACGCCAGTCCTGGTTTTGCATTTTAAATAAATCATAAATTATATTACAAACATAAATTCTGAATGTAGTATTGTAGAAATGTCTTAGAGGTCCAGGTGGGTAAAGCAACTCCTTGTATGCAGTTAAACTCAGTTTGCTCTCCAGCACACACAATCCCCCAAGGTCCTCCAGCAGTGACCCTGAGCAGAGCCAAGAGGAAGTCCTGAAAACACCTGAACAGGGTGTGGGCCAAATTTTAAGTTTTAAAAGTCTATATATACTTCTGAATGAAATGGAGCAAATTTTGCATGATATCTACCCATAGTTTCCAAGCCTATGTCATCATCTACATAATGGTCTCTGAAGAGGACTGGACTTACTGTGACCTGAACCTGACCATGAAATTATATGATAAAATATATGAATATGTTAATATGGTACTGTATCACTGTCATCAATTTACTCGAGTGGGTGCCAATAATGTCTCCATTTGTCCAGCCCTGAGATATTAGCAGCCTCTTCTTACTCATCTTTCCCAACACTGCCATATTGGAGGCTCTCTCAGGGTCAGGGGAATGAGACCTGTTATTGTTACTGTTTTTGGCATATCGAATATGCCACGGATAGCTTGCCAGGCTCTGCTGTATTACGGTACTAATACCTAAAAATGTGCTAAAAAGACTTGTGCAAACAGGGCTATATAATATTTTTCTAGCAATTTAACTGAGATATAGTCCATATGTCCTAAAATTCAACTATTTTAAAAGCATTCAATAGCATTTATGTAAATGTACAGAATTTTGCAATGATCACCACAAACCAGTTTTAGGTCATTTCCAAAACTCACAAAAAGGTTTCTGCTCATTTTGAAGAGAACTCTCTTTGTGACTTGTGAACTCCTTCTAGTTTAGTAATTTTAACAATTTATTTCTTTATTATTGGGGGGGGGAAGCTTCCCAAGCAGTGCTCAGGGAGCCTGAGTCCCCTCCCAGTAATACTGACCCAACTGGGCTGGCATTTCAGTACAAGAATACAGAGTTGCTCAGATGCCCAATACCAGAGACCACCAGAGTTATCCCTGCAGGGTTCAGGGATCTCCAGGGACACATCCTAGAGGCCAGGTATGGAGCATGTGGTGCCAGGGATCAATCTGGTATGCCCTATACTATTTCTCTCACCTCAAATAGTTTCAACTTTGTGTATTTTAAATTTTTTAGGTTTTTGGGTCACACCTAGATGTGCTCTGATGGGCCTGAGGGAAATATATGGTGTCAGGGATCAAACTGGGTCAGTTGCATGGAAGTGCCCTATATACTATACTACCTCTCCAGCCTCAGTTTCACTATTTTTCTTTTTCTTCTTTTTTTTTTTTTCTTTTTGGGTCACACCAGGCAATGCATAGGGATTACTCCTGGCTCATGCACTCAGGAATTACTCCTGGTAGTGCTCGGGGGACCATATGGGATGCTGGGAATCGAACCTGGGTTCGCAGCGTGCAAGGCAAATGCCCACTGTGCTATGGCTCCAGCCCCCCTCAGTTTCACCATTTTTAAGCAGAAAAAAAGCACAGCTTTAATACTAAGATCCTCAAAATCTGACAGACAAGAAAACAGTCATTCCCTGCACTCATTTATGGAATATAAAATATAATATGAGAGTAACACCCAAGGACAGTAGAGACAAGGGCCAGGAAGATTGTTCCATAGTTAGAAGCCTGCCTTATAAACTGGGGGAGAAGGCAGCTGGGATAGAGAAGGGATTACTAAGACAATGATGGTTGGAAGGATCATTCGGGATGGGAGATGTGTGGTGAAAGTAGATAAAGGACCAAACATGATGGCCTCTCATTATCTGTACTGCAAACCCTAATACCCGTAAGTAGAAAGTAAGAGGGAAATTGTCTGCCATAGAGGAAGGGGGGAGGGATACTGGGGACACTGGTGGTGGAAAATGTACACTAGTGGAGGGATGGATGTTCGATCATTGTATGACTGAAACTCAAACATAAAAGTTTTGTAACTGTAGCTCATGGTGATTCAAAGAAAATGGTCACTCAGTCTAAGGTACATATACAGCTAAAATCAGTTGCAATAATGAAGATATACAACCTGTTCACATAGGGCAATATATTCATTACTTACAAAGAACACACACACACACACACACACACACACACACACACGGAAATTCTCTATCCCTTCCACAGCAAATGGCAAGAATACAAGCAACAAAACCGAGATAGCATTCAAAAGAAAAATAGAAAAGAACAGTGGGTAGGCTGCTTGTCTTACACGTGGCTGACCTGGGCTTGATCTCCAACATCCCACATGGTCCCCTGAGCAATGCCACATAATTCCTGAGTGCAAAACCAGGAATATCCCGAGCATCACCAGGTGTGTTCCCTGACCCACAAAATAAAAAAATCACAATGTTCACCATTCAATATTAGGTTTTGTGAAAACTATCACAACTTGATTTTAGAAGAAATAGCTGAGTACTGAGGTAGATCCAAAAATCTCGGTCTCATTTATTGTTTTCAGAATAGTATCAATTAAATGAAACAGAAAAGACAGTTTAAAATATTTTACATACCTGATTTCTTTGAAAGCAGAAATTACAGGCCCAAAGTTTTGCTCGATAATCCACCTGACTGTGGGGGAAAAATACATATGAAATACACACGAAATACAAATATATACTATCTATGAAATATATACATTATTTATTCACATATATGTATATATATATAAGTAGCTCTGATGTGTATGTGTGCGTATATATACACACACACAGAGATATACATAACATTATAACATATACCAGGACCACTTTCATTTTTAAGGTAGGAAATATTCAAATATAATTGTAAAGTTTAGTATATGAGACAGATACATATTTCTGTGTGTAATGAAAGGCACACAAACTTTCTCTACAGCTGGAGATCTGGCAGCTGAGGACAGCAAAATTTTCTCCAACAGACAGTAATGAAGAACTGGCCGATCCTGTTCTTTGTTCTAACTTCCTGGATAATACTTACTATTTCATTTTATATATATTAAGATATCAGGGCAGAATACACACATATATATATACACATACATACATACATATATACATGTATACATTTACATATGTATTCTGCCCTGGTATCTTAACGTAGTCTATGTGATTTTTAAAACCTTTTTACTGTTCAGATAAGCACAATGATTAAATTTCAGTAATGAAAGTCCCTTTCTTTTATACAGGATAAACTGCCCTGATTTTAATCACAGTTAGGTTGCTTGAAGAAAAGCTGGACAGGCAGGCAGGCAGGCAGGTATCTAAGTTGAACTGGTTCAAGGTAAAGTTTCAGTTGCTCTTTTACCTTTCTATACTTAGAAAATTAACAAATTAACAACCTATCATTTTAAAAGGACAGCAATGGGGACTAGAGTGCTAGCACAGTGGGTAGTGCATTTGCCTTCCACGTGGTCGACCCGAGTTTGATCCCTTTCAATTATGGGCATCCCCTATGGTCCCCCAAGAACTGCCAGGAGTAATTACTGAGCACAGAGGCAGTAGTATTGATGAGTATGTGCCCCCCCACAAAAAATAAAAACAAAAAAATAAAAACAGCAGGGGCTGGAATGATAGCACAGCATGTAGGGCTTTTGCCTTGCACGTGGCGGACCCGAGTTCAATTCCAAGCATCCCATATGGTCTCCTGAGCACCGCCAGGAGTAACTCCTGAATGCAGAGCCAGGAGTAACCCCTGTGCATCGCCGGGTGTGACCCAAAAAGCAAAAATAATAATTATAATAATAAATCTAAAAAAAATAAAAACAGCAGCAGTCTGCTAGACATGGGCATATCAGGTAAAAGAGGACTGAAGAAAATAAAAGTTCCCTAATGTAAAAATTTTATCTTTTAAAAAGTATTTATATTTGTTACAAAATAAAAATAGTGCCCATATCTAAGAAATCTCACAGCTCATTATCTTGGGTACAAAATTATCATGCACAATAAAATCATTGAGAGTTCAAGTTTCTTCAGATTAATATTGCTTCTTGTCATATAGCATCACCAAGCCAGGTATAAATAAGAAATCATCATTTTCAAATGATTATTTTCAGGAAATGTTTTAAGGGCACCAATGAAATCAACAGGTCAGCAAAAGAAAACTGAAAATTGGGCTGGAGCAATAGCACAGCAGGTAGAGTGTTTGCCTTGCATGCGGCCGACCTGGGTTCAATTCCCAGCATCCCATATGGTCCTTTGGGACACTGCCAGGAATAATTCCTGAGTGCATGAGCCAGGAGTAACCCCTATGCATCGCCGGGTATGACCCAAAAAGCAAAAAAAGGAAAAAAAAGAAGAAAACTGAAAATCAGTAGATAGAATTAATTCCAAATCATTTCCCTCTACTTCTGCCTCATTCCTGTAAGTTTCCATTTTAGCTACATATTAGGCAGGGAGATTTATACAAACTTTCATCATCCAAGAATCTCACCACCTACTACTCATCTCAAGTTGATGACTTGCTCAACTGAATCATGAGATATCACTCATTGTATTCATAATTTTTACTAATTTTTAAAAGAATTCATACCAAAGTGGATTGAGAATGGCTTTGCAGGTTGGTCTGCTGCACAGCACAGGTTCATACTGGACAGGAGGCAAATCTGGACGTTCTTTTAAAGGTGTAAGGAGACAAGCCAGGGGAACAACCATCCTTGTAGCCTCGAGACGGCTGGAAGGCCACACATTCCAACTAAAGCGCACACCATCTCGTTCTTCATTCTGCTGAATGAACTCCAAGTATGTTGCCATGGTCTGAAAAGGAACTGAAAATATGTTATGTGAAACTCAACTAAAACCAAAAAAAAAAAAAAAATGGAGCGATAGCACAGCGGTCGGGCGTTCGCCTTACAAGCGGCCAACATGGCCGACCCGAGTTCGATTCCTCCGCCCCTCTCGGAGAGCCTGGCAAGCTACCCAGAGTATTCGATATGCCAAACACAGTAACAACAAAGTCTCCAATGGAGACGTTACTGGGCCCGCTCGAGCAAATCGACGATCAACGGGAGGGCCTTTACCTTTTACCTTACACATAGAGCAACCAACTAAAGCAATGTTTCTTAAAGCACAGTCTGAAAGAACTGGCCACTGTGCAATGACATCTCCCTTCTTGTTGACACCTAAACTTCAGTTACCTTTGCCTGCTGCTCCTTGTTCTCATTTTCATCTCATTAGCATTTAAAATAATAAAGGACCCAGGGATGTGGCACAGTGCAAGGTCAAGCCCTGCAAGATGCAACCCCAGCCCTGCAAGATGTAATCCCAGGAGCCTCAAGTACAGATCTCCTTGTCCCACAACAACTAACACAGAGGTTAGAGGCTGGAGAGATAGCACAGCGGGTAGGGCGTTTGCCCTGCACGCGGCCGACCCAAGTTCGATTCCCAGCATCCCATATGGTCCCCTGAGCACCTCCAGGAGTAACTCCTGAGCGCAGAGCCAGGTGTAACTCCAGTGCATCGCCGGGTGTGACCCAAAAAGCAAAAAAAACAAAAAAACCACAGAGGTTAGAATTTTTTATCATCTTGAAGTTGCATGCTACTGAATAACATAACCACCCTTATCAATCATATGTCTTATCAGCCAAGACAATTTCAGATACAAGTTTCAAACCCTGTTTCAGCATTCAAGCTTCCTTCTTTTCTTACTTCATTAAGCAGTATTAAACATTACACACCAAGGCTGCAGAGACATAGGTGATGAGGTGCATGCTTTCAACCGACTCCAGCTCAATCCCTAGTTCCACAGTCATGAGCTTCGCTGGGTGCAGCCCTGGAGACCCCCAATCACCACTGCAGTGCCCAGATAATCCCAGGTGCAACAGGGTGCAAGCAGCACTTGGACCTGTCACTGAACTGCTTGCCCAGGTGGCAGAGAATACTGGAGTGGCCCCTAGAGCCCCTAAGCGCCTCTTGGGAGCACCTACCCCTGCAGAAAACAACCCAAAACCTCTACATTCCAAGTAATCTTGGTTTGGGCCATTTCTTCTGCTCCTTTTGTTAGCTATGGAGAAAAAAACAAAGCAGGTGGGGGAAGGGATATTGATGGGCCAAATCAACCGTCCGCAGCAGTTGTAAAGCAAAACTATTACAAAAGTTTTCAACTGTGCTGTATTTCGCCAAGATATTGATTAGGCTCATTCATGCCTTAAAAGATAATGGCTAAAAAAGCAATTATTCACAGACTATAATGCCAACTCCTTTGTGTCTTTTATTTAACCAGCTGACATCCTAAAATCTGGGCTAACAAACATTTCCACCCTTAGAGTTCAAGAGACCAAATCCAGCAAGAAAAATGGGGGAAAGGCAAATTAAAGAAATCTGTGATATTAGTGATCTCAAGTGTTCACTTCATGTCCTGAATAATAACTGCCTCCATATTATTACGAGAAGTGCCATACAAAAAAAGGCTTGCGGGCTGGAGAGATAGCACGGCGGGTAGGGCGTTTGCCTTGCACGCGGCCAACCCGGGTTCGATTCCCAGCGTCCCATATGGTCCCCTGAGCACCGCCGGGGTAACTCCTGAGTGCAGAGCCAGGAGTAACCCCTGTGCATCTGCCAGGTGTGACCCAAAAAGCAAAAAAAAAAAAAAAAAAAAAAAGCTTGGACTAGAACAGTACCTAGCTAGAAAAACTCATCAATGAATTATTCTTTTACCTACCTACAATGCAGAGCACAAAAATTCCAAAAATTTGCTCCAACTGAAACGAAAAAGGCACAGGACTGGAGAGAACAGTACAGCAGGCGGGCTGCTGCCCAGGTTCAATCCCCGATACCCCAGAGGTCCCCTGCAGCACTGAAGGGAAACGATACCTGAGTGCAGAGCCAAGAGGAAGCCCCGAGGACTGCCGCATGTGGCAACAAACCAAAACCAAGCAAGTGACTCAAAGGAATCTACTAGTACTTCTGGATATGGGGGGAAAATGAGTAGTTTGCACACAAAAGGCATTTCATCCTTGTCCTGGCGGCACCGGGACAATGCAGGTGGGAACGAAAGGCAAGGTTTTCTACCACAATTCTCAGCAGGTCACTGAACATTATCAAGAAATCCTACTGTCCTCAAGCGTCTCTGCATTGAAACCTACTCTCCGTTTCTCACTGCTCCTTCCCTCACTCTGAGAACACGGACCTTCAATCCCGAACACAGGACCCACGGGAGTTCATAACATCATCAAATTCTCTCCAAGACTGCAAATTGTGTGTGTGTGCGCGAAGGTGTACTTTCCTAGAGAAGGGCCAACGATTCTGAGCAAGTTCTCAAAGGGCTGATCAGTCTCTCTAAAGAGGTCATCATCTGAATGAACGAAAGAACAAATACTGCGGAAGAACAGACCTGGCAGTCCCGCCAGCCCCCACCTAATCCCACGGGGCACTAACATCCCCGCCCGATTTCAGTCTGACTCTGGCGGTGGCCCGAGCCCGCGGTCCCCACTCCAGCTCGACCAGGAAGCCCCTGGATGTGAACCTCAAGCCCAGCCAGAAAGCGGGAACCGGATCCTTCAGTCCCGCGGCCTCAGGACCCTCCGCCCCACGGAGACTGGCCGCCGAGTCCCGGCGCGCGGAAAGCATCGCTCTCCGCGCGCCCCCGGGCCCAGATCCGCTCGGGCCCTCTGCTCGCCGGGACCTCGAGCCCGGCCGGACACCCGAGACTCACCCGGGGGAGGGGGGGGGATGAACCCCCGCGGCCCACTCACCCGCACTCAGCTATGCACCCTCCGCTCCGAGAATCCGAGCCCGGCCGCGAGCGCCAAGTCCAGCTCAGCCTTCATCCGATTGGCCAGCGTTCCCGTCACACACGCCAGCCGGCCAATCCGAGACGGGCTTCACCCCCCGCCCCCCGGCGGCGAGCGGAAGCCACTCGCGTAGGGGCGCCGCGCCGCCACCTTGAGATGGGGCGAGTGAGGCGCCTCGGAAGACGCGTTTCGCCGAGCCGCTTGTAGACGTCTCCACGGTAACGGTACGCTTCTGCTGAGGCCTGCCGGGCTGGCTCCTGACGCGGCCAGCGGGCTTCCGGGCGTTGCCCGGATCCAGTGTGACGTCCGCAGGCCGCAGGAGGAAGTCCCTCAGCGCCGCGGTGGCCGGGAAGCAACACGGTGACGTCGCCGTGGAAAGCGGGGGCAGCCCCGGCGAGAAGCAGGCGCGGCGGCAGGTGTTAGCGGAGGGGGCGGGACGGGAGGGGCGAGGCCGGCGCGCCGGGCGCGGGGCAGCGGGCGTCCCTCGCCTAGCTGCCCCTCGCGGCCCCGGCGCAGTTTCTGTGTTCGGGGCCCGTCGCGGGTTCGCGAGAAAGTGAGCCACCGAGACCTGTCACACTCGAGCGACTCCGAGCTTGGCAGAACGCAGCCGTCCACAGCCACCACTCTTTTTTTTTTCCTCTTTGGGTCACACCCTGCGATGCACAGGGGTTACTCCTGGCCCTGCACTCAGGAATTACTCCTGGCGGTGCTCGGGGGACCATATGGGATGCGGATGCTGGGAATCGAACCCGGGTTGGCCGCGTGCAAGGCAAACATCCTACTTACTGTGCTATCAACTCCAGCCCCAACACAGCCACCACTCCTAACATTGCACCCCTTCCTATAAATGAAAAAAAAAGTTTCTTTTCTTTTTTTTTCTTTTCTTTTCTCTTTTCTTTTCTTTTCCTTTTCCTTTTCCTTTTCCCCTTCCTTCCTTCCTTCCTTCCTTCCTTCCTTCCTTCCTTCCTTCCTTCCTTCTCTTTCTTTCTTTCTTTCTTTCTTTCTTTCTTTCTTTCTTTCTTTCTTTCTTTCTTTCTTTCTGTTTATTGATCTCACACAGAGATAGCCTTGCTGTAGCATGAAAACAACACAAAATTAAAAACAAGCGGACAGAAAGCCCGGGCGGGAGCCTCGGCGGGTAGGTGGACGGCTGCATTAAGGAGCTTGCATTGCCGGCGTCTAACCTGTCTGGTCCCCTGGTGTCTCCTTAGAGCCCCGCCGGGAGCTACCCCTGTGCGCAAAGTTAGAGTAAGCCCTGAGCATTGCCGGGTGCGGCACTCAAGCAAAACCCCATGAAAGTTTTTTTGAAAGAAGTTTTAAAAGTGAGTAAACATAAACTTAGGCCTGAAACATTTCTAGACATCCAAGAACTACCTCCTGTTTGCTCAATTTGCTAAATTTAACGTTTGAAACAAGTTTTAAATTATAGCACCATAGAAATTAGTTTGTCTACAACTGTAAGTGGTAGTAACTACAAAAAGTTTGGAGAACAATGAACGATACATTTCTATTCAGAACAATATACATTTTTCACATTTAGCTGGTAGGATGTTTGCTTTGCACGCAGCCCACCCGGTTCGATTCCTCTGCCCCTCTCGGAGAGCCGGGCAACCTACTGAGGGTATCTCACCCTCATGGCAAAGCCTGGCAAGCTACTCATGATATATTCAATATGCCAAAAACAGTAACAAGAAGTCTCACAATTCGTTGGTGCCCGCTTGAGCAAATTGATGAACAATGGGAGGACAGTGCAGTGCTACAGTGAAAGAGTCAGGGCCAGAGTGATAGTACAGCAGGTAAGGCTGTATATGGCTGTACACGGCCCAGGTTTGATTCCCCCAGCACCCCATATGCTCCCCCAAGCACCGCTGGGCTTAATTCATGAGCACAGAGCCAGGGGTAACCCCTGCCAGAAATCAAGTAGTCATGTCAAGGGCCTAGAGAAATACAATGTGGACTTAACACAAGTACTTTGTAATTCTTTGGTCATGGATTCAAATCTCTGATGTCCCACATGTGCCATATGCAGTCCTGGCAGCTCCACTCTTTGAGCCTGGCAGTTCAGTTGTCTTCTATCCTTGGTGCCACAAATGATTTCTAGCTGTGACATGGGTATGTGAGCAACACAAAAAGGAGTGTGACCCTGATAAGTACCACAATTCAGATGTGTGAAGTCTGAGAAGTGATCACAAAGGACTGGAGTGCATGATTTGCATGTGGGAGCCATGGGTTCAAACCCTAGCACCTTTGGGTGTGACCCAAAAGGAATAAAAAGTGTACAAGTAACCACCAGAAAGTGTGACCACTGGTAAACACATCTAAGTACCCCCAAATCCCCAGCAATCCCCATAACTATAAGCTGTGTGCCTCAACTGAAGAAGACTTACTTCAGAGGCTATGCATGTAAATACTGTAAAGAAGTGCAAAACTCAAAAAACAGAGCTCAGTATGTATGCACATATACATACACACACACGTACCCAAAGAGTAGAAAGAAGACAAAAGTTTCAATGATGACCATCATGCCAATTTAAAATGAGCATTGGTCAGAAAGTCAACTCATTTAGTCCAGTAATGAGGGAACCTGCAGGGATGCTCAAACTTGGGGCTGGAGTGATAAAACAGTGGATAGGGTGTTTATCTTGCACATAGCTAGCCTAGGTTTAATCCTTAGCATCCTATATGGTCCCTAGAGCCCCAGGAATGATGCCTGAGTATAGGAAAGCCTGAGCCAGGAAAGCCCCAGGCACTGATAGGTGTGGCCTTACTAATGACTATGTTCAGGGATCACTCCTGTGGTGCTTGGGAGTGGGGACATACGGGATGCCAGAGATTGACCCTGATATGGAATGCCAGGGATTGACATGCAAGGCAATCGACCGCCTTCCTCACTACTATTGCTCCAGCCCGAGAATTTTATTTTTTTTTTCTTTTGCTTTTTTGGGTCACACCCGGCGATGCACAGGAGTTACTCCTGGTTCATGTACTCAGGAATCACTCCTGGCTGTGGTCAGGGGGACCATATGGGATGCTGTGAATCGAACCTGGGTTGGCCGCGTGCAAGGCAAACGCCCTACCCGCTGTGCTATTGCTCCAGCCCCCCAAGAATTTGATTTTTAAAGTCAAATTATCTATCTATAAAATTCACTTATATTGGTCAGGAAACAATTTCATTGCTATAAGTTTTCATTTTTTGTTTCTTTTTGGGTCACACCCAGCGATGCACAGGAATTATTCTTGGTTCATGCACTCAGGAATTACTCCTGGCCATGCTCAGGGGACCATATGGGATGCTGGGAATCGAACCTGGGTCGGGCCGCATGCAAGGCCATCGCCCTACCTGCTGTGCTATTACTCCAGCCCCCTGCTATCAGTTTTCAGTAAGTGTGTTCCTCTCTCCAGAGTTGTGAAATAGCTTAGTCAGATGAAGGCACGATGATCACGATCACGACCATCCTGTTGTTCGTCGATTGCCTTGAGAAGTTTCCAGTAACGTCTCCTTCGTCCTAGCCCATAGATTTTTTTAAAAAGTGCCATGTTCAAGGCTCTTTCAGGTTTAGGAGAATGAGACCCATACCGAATGTAAACTGCCCACACGGCAGAGTCTGGCAAACTCCCCGTGGCGTACCCAATATGCCAAATACCAGATAAAGGCACACACTCCCTAAAATCAGATCATTCAATGGGGTCATTTTTAAAATGCCCAGCATTACATGGAAAATTTCTGTTGACTATTAAAAGAAATCTATGATTTTCATGACCTAATATTCATCATCTTTAACCCCAAATTCCGTTTTTCTCAATCAGACTTCACGAATATCAGTCATATATTTAACAGTCTGCTGGATATCTCTGGTATTTTTTGAGTGCCCCAATCTTATCATGGCCTGAAAACTTTTTTTTTTAATTTTTGGGTCACACCCGGTTATGCACAGGGGTTGCTCCTGGCTCTGCACTCAGGAATTACCTTTGGCAGTGCTCAGGGGACCATATGGGATGCTGGGAATTGAACCCTGGCTGGCTGCATGCAAGGCAGATGCCCTACCTGCTGTACTATCACTCCAGCCCCCGGTCTGAAAACTTTCAAAGTAAACTTTTGCCTCTTGACTTTCTATTTCACTTGGAAGTACTGTTCTCTTTCCAGTTAACAGCCTTGAAACTAAAGTGTTACCCTTAGTACCTTATCTCTGATGGGGTTCAGGATATGGTATACAAAAATACAACTCACACTTTGTTATCTTACCAAGAGCTTCACACATTTAAGGCATGTGCTTTATGGCCGAGTCACTTCTTCAGTCCTGTGAATATTTTAAGTTGAAATAATTTGAGAAATTGGGGCTAGAGATGTTATAGGAGTAATAAAGCCAATTTGGGTTCAATTCCCAGCTGCAGCAAAGGTTCCCCAAGTTCATGCAAAGTGTGAATCCGATTACAGAGCCAGGAACACAGCCTGGTAAGACCCAACCAACTCCCAACCGCCTCAGACAAAACACAGAAGCATTCCTATAATGAAGAAAGTATTTGTTTATTGGTATTTATTTCAAGAAACAATGGCACTCTCAATAGGAACTATGTACTAAAACATGATTTTTTAAAAGATTCCTTTTTAAGTTTTTCTTTCCTCTCTCAGATGATTAGTTCTTCCTTTGAGAATAAAAATAAGGCAATGGCCTCAACTTTCACCTTTTTCTCTTGTTTATGTTAATAATGTTTGCAGAGATTATATAATGACACACAGATCCGCTTTTTCTTTTTTTTTTTTTTTAACTTACTGGTACAATTTACTATTGTACCTTGATTTCTTTACTTATCTGTTGCACAAGCAGGGTTTTTGTTGTTGTTGTTGTTTTTTTTTTTTTGTTTTGCTTTCTGGGTCATACACAGCGATGCTCAGGGATTAGTCCTGGCTCTGTACTCAGGAATTACTCCTGGAGGTTACTCCTGGAGGTGCTCGGGGGGCCATATGGGATGCTGGGAATCGAACCTGGGTAGGCCTTGTGCAAGGCAAACACCCTACCCACTGTGCTATCGCTCCAACCCTGCACAGCAGTTTTTGACCTTATCATTGACCAAAGAAGA